CTTGTAGCCGCCAGAGTAGGAGTCCCCGTTGGGAAAATGGAACTCGGCCTCACCGGTTTTCTCTCCCGGTCGCTGCTCGATCACGTTTGCATCCGGAGTCACTTCTGTCGACGTCATTTTGGGGTCGTAACGACTGCTAAAATTGTTTTCGAAATTATCTCGCGCCACAACAAATGGCAGAATTTAACTGAGTTAGATCGGTAAAAATAGCATAACTTTGCAACCGGTCCAACTTCGCTCAGGGTTCTAAAACAGCCGATCTCATCAGATTGAATCAAGGCCGATTGAATCACAGTAGTTTTAGGGCCAGGGTTTTGATCAGCATTATCGGCATGCAAAACTCAGCACCGCACATTACAGATACGTGACAAATGCTACTCGTATCACGTGCTTTATCTGGTAGGCAGTTACCATTTACGTTTCTTTAAACGGACAGCTTTGTCTCTTGGCAAAGATCAACAGGGACAGATTCATTTAATGCGGAAAATGCCTACTAATACTGAACGACAGGCAGCTGTCTATCAGGATTACAGGAAAGGGCTCAGAACATGCATGTAAATATAGGGACCGGGCAGCACGGTCGGCCAGGCGCCTAGCGCCATTAGCCCACCTTGTTCGCATACGACGTCAGAGCGTCGCGGCCACCTCCAATTGTTTGTGCGCTGAGTGCTGGCCGACGGTGGTCGACTGTTTGTCAGCACAAGGCCGGCCGTCCGAAGGTAGACGGTGATTGAAGGGCTGACGGCGGGCGACGGCAGAGGAGCCGCGGAGCCCGCCAGCGCAGGCCGCCGCGACCAGACCCGCCGGCCAACCAGGTAACCGCCGCCCTCTCAGCCCCACCCCACCGGCCTACCAGTCCAGACCCGCCGACCGACAGGTAACCGCCCACTGCCCCACCCCACCGGCCTACCAGGTAGGCTACCAGGTAGGTCCCACCCTCGTGACCGACCAGGTCACCACCGTTCTCTGCCCCGCTCCATCGGTATATACAGGCCAGGCAATCGTTCCCATCCACCCTAATCTCTCTTCTCAACTGGGAACCACCACCACCCTCTGCCCAAACCCTTCTTCAACCGGAACTGCTGGCTGATCAGACCCGACTGTCGACACCAGGTAATAACCCTTTTGCCCTGCCCTGTGTTTTAGCCATACCCACCACTCACCAGCCGAATAAGTGACAAACTCCTACCCGCCTCTCAACCAGGCGGAATAAGTGTTAGCTCCACTCCGAAAAGGCTAGCTCAGACATTTGGCTCCGTCTTTTCCTTGCCTTAGCTCATTCCGGATAACGCCAAGTCTCATATGAGTCATATATATGTATATTTTACAATAAAACCCGCTCGCATTCGGATAATATTTCGATCGTTTCATTCTTATAGTGCGTGAATGAATCGCATCTGATGAAATGTTTAGTAGTGCTATCAGGGACGCCCCCGGCTAATATCGGTTGATGTTAAAATTTGAAGAAGAAAGAATTAATTGTAGCATCTGATGATATAATTTATTTCTTAGTTTTATCAATTATTGCATAGCCACGGCCATAGATAACACGAATCATGATTCATGTTATCTATGCCACGGTAGTATGCTCACTTCGCAAAAATGTACCGTAGCCTGCAAACCTGAGTGGTGACATTGGTTTGCCGGTATGGTAACTAGAAGTAAACTATAAAGTAAGCGTTTATTTGAGTTAAATTTCCCAGGTCTCCATTCCATGCATTTAGGTGATTTGAAAGACCCCAAGGGGATGGGGAACTTAACTTTCTTTTGGACTTTTTATTTATGGTGCAAGCAAATTTTGTATCGTAAGACAGATCAATTTGGCCCTGTTGCTTCCTGCCGAGCGTAGGGGCGCACTCTTCCCGCGTTTCGGTGAAGTCGGCGCGTCGCTGTTCTGTTGAACATTTTCCCGTGTTCGTGCAGACGACGCGGCTCTGACCGCTGGCAGGTGGAAGTGGCCCGGCGCTGCGTTGACCGGGCTGTGACAGACAGGCTGCCGCGGCCGTCTGAGTTCGATTGAGCGGTGAGCCGCCATTGACCATACGACGCCTGCCAATGGCAGAGCTAACAGAGACCCGACCCAGCTCCGTGACATTTCAGAGCTCAGCCGCGGCGCCGTCAGCAGTGAACGGGAGCACAAACAATAGGTTTGGGCTCGGTCAATGTTTCACCAACATGTGTGTGAAACCGTATACGTTGCTCCGAAAACTAACGTCCATTCGCATTTAATGCAGGCTGCAGTCCAATACTGCATCGATAGGTAGGGAATGGCATTATCACAAGCAATATCATCGGCAGGCGGCTGGTATTCGGCTGTGCTGAGCCGACCCGTCCTCAGCGGGGCTCACCATGGCGGAGAGTCGCTCGTCCTCGACACCGCCATTGGCCGGTGAGTATAGCGGCTGGCCGCAGTGATAACGTCGCCGGCACCGTCTTTATCATACGGCTTAGCATGTACACTTCAGTAAACTTTAACAGACAAGACCTCATAGTATGAGTCATATGACGACTATCTTCTTGTCCTTCCCTTGTAGGTGTGATGCTGCTTTTGATTCTACTCACATGCGATTCGGTGGAGGGCCGAGCGTCACACAGACCTGGTGCAAAGGTGAAAGTCATTTCGAGGAGTGCGAACAAACCTTACGACAGGGTAAAAGGAGGTAAGAATTAAGATGGAAGCTACTGTTAGCAATGTAATACAAAATTTTCAACGGAAGGAAACCGGATGACACGAAATTACGGACCTTCTTTTCAACAGGGAATGTGAGCATCATAGCCTGTGAAAACAAGTCAAAATACGTGAACTAACGTTTGGTTCTGACGGCTCCCGATATGATTCTGAGTGTGCCGGCTCCCGATGCGGTTCTGACGGCTCTGACGGCTCGGCTCTCCTGCAGCCTGGTTCTGCACGCGGTCGGTGGCTGGCCTGGCCCCGCTGGACTCCAAGCTGGACACGGTGGAACGCTGCTGGTCAGAGGCGGTGCGCCGCCGGGCGCGCTACCTGGCCATCGACCGGCGGGCGTGCCGCGTGGGCGCCTCTGCCCACCGTCTGCCGGTGGTGCCGTGCTCCAACACCAGCCGACACGTCATCGACGTGCAGTACTACCGGCACGACCTGGCGCGGCTTAACCCAGGTCAGTCAGCCGCAGACCTCAACCCAGGTCAGTACTACGGCAAGACCTGGCGCGACTCAGTCCAGGTCAGTCAGCCGCAGACATCATACCCATTACCCAGGTCAGTACTACCGGTACGACCTGGTGCGCCTCAACCCAGGTCAGTACTACCGGCACGACTTGGTGCGCCTCAACCCAGGTCAGTTAGCTGCAGAGTCCAGCCCAGGTCAATCACCCACGGACATCAGCTAAGGTCAGACTGGTGAGAGAAAAAAAAAACTTATACAAGTAGGCCTGCATCTGTTAGCATCACGAATTCTGACTGACGGCACTGCTCAGCCATAATTTTCAATGCACCTATACAAAGCGAACGGCTAGGTAGGTGGTGTGTTTTCGCTTTCGTCACCGAGCTGACGGGCACGGCCAGCACTCAGCAGTGACCTCTATCTCCTGCAGACACACGTTACTGGATATCGGGACGCGCCGCCTCCGGGGTCATCTGGCACGTCGTCTCCGGGGCGGCAGGCGGCGCGCGCCGACTGGCCAAATGCTCCAACCTCTGCTTCCAGTACGGACAGGACTTCGCCAGGGTCGACCAGTGAGTAGCAGCCGAGCTGTGTCTCCTCAGCACTCATGCCACAAAGCAATGTATATTTTTACCAAACAAGCCCGACCAGCTCTCGCCGCTCGCGACATTCGCTCTGGACGTGCCCAAGATCTCGGCTGTGTTCTGACACGTGTCCTAACGCTGCCCTCCCAGCCGCGGCTGCCGCTGTGGGCTGGAGGAGGAGCGTGGCACGGTGATGATCCGCCACGAGGACCTGCACTGGACGGCCGACCACCGCGGCGACTCGGACCCCGGCTTCACGGTGAAGCTGCGAGCACAGAACGTCACCGGATGGATGTGCACCGCGGCGCCGTCCGACTTCGTGTCTTTCACGGGCGCTCAGACCATGCAGGAGGCGCTGGAGGCCTGCCAGCGGCGCCGCTTCCAGTTCCTCGCCGCCGGAGAGTGAGTGGGCGTCAGGGCGACGATATGGCATGATTTTAGTGTTCCAGCAATCCCTCACCCCACCGCGCGAGCATCGCCTGCTTGACGCCTGCTAATCGTTGAGGCAGACAGCCTGGAAGGGTATGCTGTTCCGCAAGACTCGAACGTCCTGCGGGTCAGCCTACCACCGCAGACGCGCCGCCTCGCCACCCAGCCACAGATAGCAATTTCAGAAATAGCCCATCGCCCATCCCTGAGTATGAAACAAAACAATAAAAACATACGGTTTTCAGTGAATTCATCGTTCCATTTAACCGATAATGTTATGTCCTTTATCGTGCTTTACTCCTTCCTCGCCAACTTGTCTACTCTGCGCCAACAATGTTTGCCGTTGAACCTGACTGATTAGATGCCTTTTTATTCTCGATAAACGGCCATCTAATTGATAAAATAAATGTTCAATAGACTCAAGTGATTATAGTCGCCCGTCGCTTTGTGCCACGCACAGGGACGGCTTTTTCTGCGGAAACAACACGGCGAACCTGGAGCGTTTCTCCGTCTCCCAGTGCGAGATGAAGCTGACCAAACGACGCTCCTACTCGGTCATCAGCATCAACGAGATCGAGCGGCAGATCAACCACGTCGAGGAGAGCATCAGAGGTAATTAGAAATTACGCGTGCAGATATGATAAAAAGACTGTAAAGTTATATAAATTATGTGGGAATGGTCTGTCTCTACGTCTACGTTCGATGTGATTTTAATCTAGCCATTGCTGATGCTCAGGCTGGTAGCTGAGTGATACTGTAAGTTTAATAATTTGAATTCTCCCGATATGTCACCGTCACTGCCCTTCCCCTGGTCAGAGTACATTTTCTGGTGGGTATCGGAGAAGTCACCGGATGTGTTCTGGACCACGCTGGCCGACGTCTCGTCGCTCGAACAGTGCGTGCTGCAGTGCGCCAAACGCTTCATCTGCGTCGGAGCGTAAGTTTCCGTTATATCTAACCGATGTGCAGAGCCGTCAGCCGTGCTTATTGTCATTTTTGTCATTATACGAGCTAAACCGCTTCCTAGATTAATCAAGAAACAATTACACATAAGGTTTTACAGCGCATTTCTTCCACATATGTATGTAAATACTTTATCATTCAACCAATGTTAGTTTAGCAGTACAATATGTGGCACCGCGCCATCTCTCTGACCGTTCTGACTGTCTCCGCAGGGACGGCTGTTCGTGTGGCTCCCTGCGCAGCGACCGCTCCGAGGTCCGTGTGCGGGAGTGGGTGAAAACCAGGCACAAGCAGGAGATGGGCTCCAACCAGGGTTACCTCATGCTGGACAAGAAAGGAAACGCCAACGGTAAACGTCGCTCGCAGTTGTGATTGTGCATGTGTTGCTGCGAGACATTTCTTTCGGTATTTTGCGGTAAGTCGATTATACGCCATGATCTTTTCTGCCAAGAAGCACCGAATAAGAATAAGAATTGACACGAGTTTATTGTTATCCCGTTCACAGAGAATCACAATTTACGTAATAACGTTCACGTAAAATGCCACGGTCACGAAACAAATATCACAGTTATTGACGGCACAGCTGTAAGCTCTCAAAGCTCAAACTATTCCACGAAACATTACATACATAAGTACCTACAAAAGCACGTATCTAATTTGCGACATTTTGACCGCCATTCCGTACCATAAAACTGCACTACCCACCACCAGTGCCCGAGGGGTGGACGTGCACCACGGAGCCGACCCAGTGGCGGCAGGCTCGGGACTCCACCCTCCAGGGCTGCCTCCAGGCCTGCCGCGCCGCCGCCAACTCGTTCGCGGCCTTCGGACAGTGAGTGCCGACTGTACACTGCCTCGTCCAGGGGGGGAGGGCCACCGACTTAAACGGGCATCGATATCGGCACAAGGCCGCCGAATAGACGATCTCTTGATTTGTGGCCTGGAACGAAAAAAAAACGAATAGTACCTTTTGCAAATTCTTAATCAGCAAAAAAGCTAAACTATTGTTTTCTGACGCTCGGGGTGTGAACTCCTGTTCGATCGCAGCCATTGTCTTACGCTGGCCGTCACCCTCATCCACCCACAGGAGCGGGTGCCGCTGTGGAGACTCGGGCGAGGGATTCAGCCACCTGGCCATGGTCCACTGTCAGAACCCACAGGCCAACGCCGCGACCCGCCCGCACTCGGTGCTATTCGTCGACGTCTGGACGCAAAACTATCAAAAGTACTCCACCAAACGTGAGCTCATAAGCGCTTTTACGTTAAAATAAAACCAATCAAATTTGTCCTAGTTATCCGGAAGCAGAATACTAAGAAACCAAAACTTATGGATGTATTTCATTAATCATTTGTTAGATGACGCCTGCCATTAGACTCACCTGCCATTACCGCGCACATTTCGCCCTCTCTTGAGTGAGTTCCGAGTCCGACTGAGTTCGAATGTGCCCGACTTTAGCTGACAATCTGAGTCGGGACCGGCTGACCGGGGCACCCTGTCCGCCCGGCAGCCGGTTTTCAGGCGTTCTGGGTGTCTCAGAAGCCGAGAGGCGTTCGCTGGGAGGCCGCTCCCGGTCGCACAGTGCTGGACGACTGCGTCAGTGCCTGTCAGGACAGGAAGGGCGTCAAACTCGTGCTGGTGGGAGTGTGAGTACCGCCGCACGTGCTGTGTTCAGTGACACTGCAAAAAGCCTGTGTCGGGAAGGCTGATCTTTATATATCGCAGCATATTGTTGCATACTCGAAAAAAAAATATGAAATGTGCGATCAAGCAACTACAGAATACGCGCGCCCGATAGACTGGAAATTGAACCAGTTCAAACAAAATGTGGAAATCGGATTATCAATCCACCACAAACAGCACATGGCAGCACATTGGTCAACACCAGCACAAACACATTCACAAAGAGCACGCAACATGTAAATGACAAAAAGAAAACAACTAAAGACGGATCAACATCTCGAACACACCCAAGGTCACGTCGGTCATAAGCGTCGTCTGGTTGCCAAAGTCACACAAATCAAGAAAGCCTTACGCACATTTTCACACTTCCCACGCCCCGACTGTCACATCTGTCCACTCCCGCTAACACGCCGTGGCCGGTGCCGGCAGGGATGGCTGTGAGTGTGGCATCACCACATCGGCCGGCTACCGACCGGCCATGGCCTGGGACGCCCGGCCGCCAGCCAGCGCCGCGCGCGGCTTCCTGCTCGTGCAGATGAGCAAGGCGTCCACAGGTCAGTGACAAGGACGGGAGGCGGCCGGGCCGACGATCAGACCGGCCAAATGCGTGGCAAATTAACGACAGAGTAGACTGCATTTCGATGTTTGAGGTTTGGTTGAATTATTTACAGATCAGATTTAAAACTGATCGGCATGTAGCTGATCAGACACCATTCTTGCAATAAGATTCGACAACCGTGCAGAGCTATTCTGTACCTGACACGGTTCGTTATATGTAACTATGTCACGATGAGCGGTCGGCAGATGTAACCGACGCTGTTCCTGTACGGTGCGTGTACTTGTTCCGTATTTGCAGGGTACGTGGAGCCCGTGTTCGAGTGGATCACGAAGAGAAACAACACCCACAAGAAGGAGAACGAGGTTAAAGAAGCGCCCACCTGGATCAGAGGTGAGTGACAACACCCTCTGCCAAACGTCAAAATGGATGGATTGAAGCCCACTGTACACCACCAGAAACTAAGAACAAAACAAAACAAAAAACAAAACTGAGTTCGTTCAAAAGCTTTCTATGCCAGCTTTTCAGGGGATCGGTAATGAAATGTACCCTTTATAATCGTCATTCCAAGTCCCTGATATGTGAGAATGAATGAAAATGGGCAGTGACCACCACTGACCGCGCCCTTCCCCCGGCAGTGACTGTGGCGCACTCGAACCGGAAGAGCCTGCGGCGGCTCTCACACCTCAGTAAGGAGGAGCGACTCTCACAGAACCTGGAGCGGACCGTGGGCACGAGAGGCAGCCGCGGCCTGAGCCAGCAGCGCGAGCACAGCACCATCGAGCAGCGCTCCACCACGCTGCACGGCCACCACGAGCGAGCCACCAATCATACAGGTGGGAACGGGCCACAGCGGCCCACAAATCATACAGGTGGGCACGGGCCACAGCGGGCCATTAACCACACAGGTAGACCGGCTCTCACGAGTGAGCTACCAAACACACAGGAAGGCCGAAGGCGAGTTAGAGTACAGGATCGCCAGCCACACAGATGGAAACTCACGAGCAGATCGCCAGTCATCTCCCATTACGCTGAATCTTTCAGAAGTCACCTAGCAGGTCACTGAGCAGTGCACACCAATACCCTCTTGGCCGCTACTCATTCCATTCAGTTCATACCAACTTGGCTTATCGCCTGACTGGCCCTGCCAACCAGACCTCACATCTTCCCATGTCGTTCTTCAGGTGCCACTGATCAGAAGGAGGTCTCCAAGCTGGCCAGGAACACGACCAAGGTGGCCAAGACGAACCGGCGGAAGAACGTCATGAACGAGAGCGAGAGGAACTACGTGTCAGGTGAGACGCCGTATAGGTACAGGAAAAAAATAAACACAGGGTTCGCTCTCCGACCGCAGCCAGAAAAGACGTCGCCTTGGTACCTCAAACTACCTATTCCAGGGAAGGTAGCTCTGCTTAGAACTAGAACTAGAACCCTTAGATCTTGCTTACTTCTGCTCAACACGACAACTGGTACTGGTAGGTAAACGAAGTGATGATGATGGTATAAAATGAGAGCAGCTATTGAATAAGCAGTGCTACTCAAATTCGTGCGCAATATTCGCTTTATTCAATCCGCACTGTTTTTGTGCGTCTTCATAGCGCGGGACAACGAGATAACGGTGGGCTCCAACAAACGGCGACTCGTCAACATCGAGACGGAGAACGCCGCCCGACAGTCGGCAGAAAACTATAAGAAACACACGAGTAAGGCAGGGGTAGGGCAAACCTACGATGGCTCGTTATGCTGTTTGAATGTAACCATGTGCCGAATATAGAGTAATAGCTACTGATAGAAGAATATGGCTGCTTTATCTTGTACAGGGAGCATTGCGTTATCTATAATGAATATAGTATGGCACTACCAAATTTCTGCTGCTTAAATAATCTAATATGTATGTAAGCATTGTCGTCAGGACGCGAAACAGTGCTCGTAAGTCATTCGCCAAAACGTTCACGCTGGCCAAGTCGATAAGCTGGCATGGCTGGCGCTGGTTCTTCTCTGGTTGTATGTAACTCCGTATCCCGTCCGTGCCACCAGTCACGGGCGAGCAGACTGCCGGCACAATCGAGCAGTTCATTTCCGGCGAGAAGGCTCACCTGGTGCGGGTCAACAGCACCAACACCAAACTGCTCGAGAAGAGCGTGGCCGGTAGGTGGCAGCAGCGGCGCTGCGGCCACCGCAGGGGGCGCAATTTTCCTAAGTGTAATGAGTGTATACTGTACTCATATCGTCGAGTGCTGAAAGTGGACATGCTTCTTATTCTTAAGTAAAACTGATGACCAAAATATGTGACGGTGATCCGCAGCGAATCAGACCCATCTGGCCACGGAGGCGACCTCGCACAAAATCCGGCGGCTTCATCTGAGGCAGAGCCGGGTCACAGAGACCAAAAAGGGCAAAACGCTGAGCCGTGAGTACCGGTTATGGCATACAGCCGGCAAGAGACGATCTAAGTAGTGCATCTGTAAACAAAATACCCGAGTGACTTTTGAGCCTGTCAGTTTCAGCTCTAAGGTAGGTAGGTAGATTTACTGAAAGGTAAATGGATTTTTAAATGATAGAAACCATGGGCCAGCATATTCAGTTACTCACTATTCACTCACAAGTCACAACTGCTGACAAATGAGCCCGTCCCTGACCACTATCCCTCAGTGAAGATCCACATTGGCGGCCGTTGTTACGTCGGCCCGGCGAAGAAGGACGAGTGGGAGGGGCCGCTGCCTGACAGCCACTCGCCCTTCAAGTGCCTCTGCACCTGCATCAAGAAAATGCGCCTCCTTTACGCCATCTTTGACGGGTAAGAATAAGATGCAGGTGCAGCGTTATTTTTTCTAGCTGCTTGACCCGGTAATTTCATCTTCTAAACTGGCCTCACTCACGACAAAATACTCCACAAAGTTTTACTCTGACCTCACAGAAAACTAACAGACTAATATGCTCTATGCTCTTCAGTAAAAAATATGGAGCGTGTCACAGCCCCATCAACATAAAACCCACCATTATGCGCTCTAAAATTATAAACCGAAGCGTATCACCGATCTACGTACGAATGCCGGTACTCAATTATGAGCCATAGAAAGGATCAACTGTCATTTTGCCAACGTCCGTTTCTGATCTCGTGACCTCCGTTAGCGGGCAGTGTTTCTGCTCGGAGAAGGCGGGCGACTTCGGCACCAATACCGGCTCCATCACGACGACAGGCCGGTGTCCTCAGAAGAACGCGCGCACCGTCTATAACGGCATGAAGCACACACAGAAACTGGCTCAGTTCTGCCAGCGCTCCAACGCAACGGGTGAGTGGTAGGCGGCAATGTAACATCCGTTCAGCATTTGTGTAACAACTGTTTGAACATCTGTCCAAAAGAACATGGAAACTTTTATCCCGAAATACCCGAAATTCTATATAAAGGTCATACAAACCGTATAGGCGGCTCTCTACTGTAGTTAAATAACCGCCCATAGATGGCACCACTGACAAACGCCTGAAATTATACTGTGCCGCAGGGCTTGAGCCTTGAAGGTCCCGTATTAGCGCCTGGGTTGGCTTCACGATGGGCTAACGATCGAACTTTGGGGGAGCACATCTATTTTCTGGTTCATTCCTCCTCGAAAATAGTACTTAATCGGACATGCTGCAACAATTAATCGTGACACATTTGTGTTATTATGGTCATACATACGCACCATTCTTACTATGTTCGTTTGAATTACTAATGGTTTATGCGTGCATTTCGTCCACAGCTAGCAGCGTGCTTCATTTGGGCCGGACGACTTTGAACGCCGGCCACCGGACCATCGAGTTCAACAACACAGAGAATCTGCGGGCACTGAGGAAATCCAGCAAACTCGCCTGTAAGAATGTCAAAATTAGGGCTGTCACCAATGACTCCCACCAGATGAACGGTTCCCATGGATAGGTAGGAGCGGTCGGACGGACGAAGAGTAATGTCTAAATCACCTTTGGGCCAATTTTTGATAAGTCTATATGAAATGCGCAGGCAACCGGAAATATCTTACTCTTCTTCGAAGATGATTAGCTATGCAGAATGAAAATTCAGGGCTGAGTTTAACTGGTTCACCCATACGTTATTAGGATGCTCCATGGACGGGGATGACTAATCTGAGCTGACCCGCCCGTCGCCGGCAGCCACCCATCTGCACCGGTCCGAGAAGGACGTCAAAACGGACGTGGTGCGCCAGCACAAGAAACGGGGCACCATCAAGGAGACTTGGAAGTCCAAACTGTCCAAAGGTAGGGCATGGACGGAACATCACTCAGCTGATGTATCTTTTCACCCACGAACGCGAACTTTTTGAATATTGCAAGACAGGCTACGCATAAAATAAAACTCAATTTAACTTCTACTTTTCACAGGCAGAAGGCAGAATGGCGCTCCATTATGCCAGAATTCAATAATTAATCGCCCGCGTTTGTAATTAATCCCCGGATCTGTCCCCAGGGGTGTTCGACCAACTGTACGCGCTCTGCATTCAGGGGTGTTAGACCCGCCATGTCCCCACGGGGAGGGGGCCGGGGGTTCACCAGCTGTGCGTCTCTGACTCCACGGGTGTTGGACACGGCTGTACCGGCCTTGCTCTCAACGATGCATGACCGGTTATGTTCTCAGGGGTGTTTGACCGACTGTACCGACTGGTTCCAGGGGTGTTTGACCGACTGTACCGGCTCAAACTGCATGTGCGACGAGCCCACAACGTCACAGAGAACGTCAACCTCATCACCAAGAAGGACGTCCGGTCCAGCACCCACAAGAGAGGGCCCCTCTTCCTGCCGCGCCGCAGGGCGGTGCACAAAGCAATACAGGTTATACCTCTCAGCAAGTCGAAAGAGAAGAAGGCACCAAACTAAACTAAACGTAAAACCAGAGTGCAAGAAATGTAATGGTCTGGACAAAACACGTCTGGACGGTGAATCATGCAATGCATTATGGAATAACAGTAGAAGCAGCGGATGACGATCAATTTTGACAGTTTTTATCCGACGGAATCTTATCGAGCGACATAGCAGTTCTTTTATAGCAACATGTATGTACTGTCAACTGTGTGTCAGAGGCGAAGCCATGCTGGATTTAACGCCACAGGACACGCGAACGTGATGTGGCATAGCAAAATAAACGAAAAATGATTGCACAAAAGCATTTACTGAGCCGAGAAACAATATAAGAGTACCTAATAGCAAAATTTAACCGTCTTTTGCACTAATAACATAGTTTCAAGACCCGTAAAAATATAGCCCTAGGTCACATGTCAGGTCACAGCCCAGCGTCATGAACACGTACGCTTTATCTCTAGCTACTACACTGACCAAGGGATCGCTTCGGAATTTCGGCGATTGATAACAATTAACCCGCGCCCTGCTGGGCCTGGGGGTATTTGATCACTTCCTTGCGGTTTGTCACCAAATCTCAAACACAGCGGCACGGAGCGCCGTCCTTTTTGGCACAACTTATCATACTCATACATCTTTTCTGCACATGTGAAACTTTCAGACCGACTTCTCAAGGTCAGGTCACCAGGTCATGTCAAGTTACCTCGCTTCAGAAAAAGTTTCAATGCTTGCCATAGCTACACCGAGTGGCAGATCGTTTCAAAACTTTCAGTAAATCATGCAATAAGGGCAACAGTGTGTATGAAATGTGCATCTCGTACCTTTAATATCGGTGACATAAGATCAGGTCAATGTTGCGACCTCACCATTGCAAGTAAATTGAAAAAAAAAACTGAGAGGCGTCTCTCTTGTACGAACGGCATTCTAAACACTCAAACATTAGGTTAAACATGACACACTGAACCGGAAAATGGCACCCGTGACCCCTACATGTCCTAGAAGTCATCTCAGGTCACGAAAGGTATCCAACAGTTTTCCGCTAAGTTTTGATAGATGCGTGCTAGAGCAATGCAAATATCATAGTGCTCTGCTCAGCTTAACGATACGGATCGACTGATACGCCAATGCCACCTTTTCTTGTCAGGTCACTCATGACCTTAACCTGAGTTCAAATTTTTAAGTTGACTTTTTAAGGTTCATATGGCGCGTCCCGACGAGAGGAACACGATGTCGTTAAAAGTAACTCCGTGCAAATTTTGAGTAAAAATCATCGCAGAAAAAAACTTCCGTAAAAACGTCCAGCATATTTTCAGTGTTTACCCTCTGCATGCTAGGCCGTTGACCTTAACCCGGCAGGCGGTGGGCCTACCAGCCACCTTCCGCGCGGTGGGGGGTGGGGGGGCATTTTTTTGCCCCCCCCCCCCCCCGTATCTCCGAAACTACTGTACGGATCCGGAAAATTCAAACGGCGTTCGATAGCCCTGTCAAATTTGTCAAGGGAAACCAAATTTCATTGACCTCGGGGTCACCGATGACGTCACAGGTCAGGTCAAAGATAAAATGTTTCACCGTTAACGGGGCTTCTAGGAAAAGCGCTATAACACCGAGTAAAACGCATTTTGTCGAAAATCAGCGATAAGGCGTCAGTTGTCTAGTACATATGCTGCTATTAGAGGTCACTGGTCATACCAGGTCAGGTCACAGGTCAGGTCACCAAAGGTCACCAAGGGTCACCACATGAGCCCAACTTTACTAAGGTTATGCGATGCATGTTTTATGGCCAGTTTTTTATTTCTAACTCAATGGTGTTGGTTATAAGACCATCAGGTACGGTTTAGGTCACTTTCTGGTGGAGGTCAGGTCAAGGTCAGGTCAAAAAGGTCAAATTTCAAAGTTGATATTTTTGCATAAAATGGTTATCGATTCGATGCAGCTCGTCACGGGGAGTCTAATGGTGGTCTTTGTTTTGCGCTACGAGGTCTAGAATTGCTAAAAATTGAGTTTGAAAATTTGACGTCATTAATTTTGAACAGTTTTTTCGCTATAACTTGGCCAAAAAAAGAGGTATCGATCTCAAATTTGGTATGTAGATAGAAGGCGGTAGGGACTATCACATATGTTCCGGTTATTTCGAATATCAAAAAACTTTTTGGATTTTTTGGCTATTATATTCAAAAAATCTATTTTTTATTTTTGGGGGTCAAATTCCAAAAAATTCGAAAAACCGAAATAGCAATTTTGTAACCATTCTGATTCCACGCCTTTTATGTCGAAACATTTTTCTGTATCTCTAAAGCTGTAGGCCTGACAGCTCTTCCCGCGAAACCTTTTTTTGGGTCGAAAGTGGCAAAAATGACGTCACTCTGACGTCATTAGCGGCCAACCTATAATAGCCTTTGGAAATATTTTTGGTCACCATGTGCGCTAGCTGCTCCCGGGAGGGTACTGAAAGCTTGGTGACGATCGGCGCAGCGGTTCTCGAGATATATTGAAAAAACTAAAGGGGGCAAAAAATGCCCCCCCCCCCCCCCCCCCACCGCCTGGAAGGTTAATCAAACCTGAGACATTTGCTCAGAAAGAGCGTTAACAGGGCTATTAACTTTTCTGTCGCCCTATAGCTCTATTAATTTCCGAGTTATGCGCCGATTTGTAGAAAATTGTCAGAATAGGCGACCTTGACCTTCGACGACTTCTGGTGACCTTACCTTTGACCTGACCTAAAATGACCTAAGTTATTTTGTCATTATTTTGACGCTCTTTCAAACATGAGAGGCGGCTGACAATTTCCGTAAAAAGCGGCCGATAGCGACGAAACTAGTTCCGTACATTCGTTTTTATCAACCCGCGCTCGGGTGGGCCTCTCAGCCAATTTCGCCATTTCGCCTTTCTGGCCACACCAGATTATCTCGGAAAGTAAGCTAGCTAAAAGACGCAGTAAAAAGCAATAGATGGTTTGCTAAAAGATCTTTCAGAATCATACAGCTTATTTTTTATCAGGTCATCGCTAAGGTCACTGGAGGTCACCAAAGCTACAATTTTCAGGAATTTTTGTTCCCGATTTTTACTTTTCAATAATCGGTGCAAAAGTCGGGAGCCAATAGAGCTACTACGCTGCGGAAAAGCGCATTCGATAGCTCTTGCAAAGGTCTTTCTGAATATTGCTCTCAGATTCGACGTAATGTCAACGGTATAGCCTCCAGAGGGCAAAACTCAAAATTTGACGTTTTTGCGGAAAAGGCTTTTCCAGAACTTTTGACTCAAAGCTTGTATCACGCTGATTTTACCGGCATCGCGTTTGTCTCGTCGAGAGGAGTCGAATGAACAATAAGTTGACCTGAAAAGGTCAAATTAAAAATTTGATCCGAGGTCGCGGTCACGGAAAAGGTCATGTTGCATGTCATTCTATTTGTATTGTTTACCTGAACACATGCATGGTGTTTCCAAGGCTCTAGCATGTTCCTATCTAAGGTTATTGTCAAAAAACTGCTGGAGACGTTTCATAATCTTGATTTCATTAATTTCTTTCATGACCTGAGATGACCTCAGGGGAATAAAGGGGTCACAGGTGCAATTTTCCGGCTCAGTGTGTCATGTTCACATGTGTCCCGATGTTTGAGGAAATTTTCGGCCAAAAGAAGAGCATTCCATTTTTCTCCCAACGATTTGTAATGGAGAGGACACAAAATTGACCTGACCTTGGGTCATCGATATCAAAATTCCGAGATAAGCAAATTGTTGGTACTGATTCCATCATGCAATAGCCCGAGTTTCAAACTTCTGAGATGTTAATGTAGAAATGACTGAATCACAATTTTTAGACGCATTGTCAATTAACTTGACCTGCTGACCTGATCTTATGTGACCTGGAGTTAACAATTTTACATACGATGCGAAATTTAGGCATCACAAGTTATGCCTAACAAGTTTCGCGGCGCTGTGCGCTGCGGTTTTCTTTACGGTCGTTAAAAAAATTGGCAGGTGTGGCCAAAAACGCGCCCTCCCCCACCCGGGCGAAGGTTAATTTTACACCTACCTACTCTAAAATCTAATGATTCGGCTTTCAGCGACCTGAGACGTCTTTCTCGATACACTGTCAGACAAGCAAGGCGATTCGGTCTGTCAGCATTCATTATCAGAGCGTTTCCAAGCTTCTTGCGATTAGAAACGTGCCAACACGTGAAATTATGGATTACTACGGCGGTGTAGGGTCACTTGAACATTAGGTCAAAGTCATTGACCGCTGATGACCTCGAGTAAGTTTTCAGAGTTATTTCTTTCTATAGTATGGCTTGGAGCTTGATCTCAAGTTCTCTGGGAATTTTAAAACTACGTTCTTTTTAGCCTATGAAACTTGTGGTAGTTTTATCAGTGACGTGACGGGTAATCCTCGATAGATTTTCTACATATGGCCCGGACAAGTGGGAAGGAAGGGTTGGTGTGACCCTATCTGTAAGAATCTTGGGTGTGACCATCCTTTCCGTTTCGCCCCTGATTGATGCTTCGTGGAAAAATGAGCGTGTGCGTTGTAAAGAGCCGCAGCGACTGGTACCCGATGTTGACGTTTCAGGTGTACCGGTGAACTCTGAGGTAAGGTAAATGGCTCAATGTATGATTCAGGCTTTTGCTTAACGACTTCGCCGAAAATGATCGCAGAGCCGCGTTTCTTGCACAATCGTGTTCGTCATGCTTAGGCGCATCGAATGCTATGTTTTTGTTTGGGAAAGATATCAACTTAGCGTTGACCCTAGGTCAGTCAGGCCATATCCCCTCAGGTTACGATACCGGTCGAAGGTCACATTGCAACATCATTCGGTCGGGTATGTCTCTCGGAGTCTATTGGTGGCTTTCGCGACTCGCTAGCTCAATACGATAGGGAGTTATTGACGTAAAACTCTGATGACCTTACTGATGTCATAGATAACATCAGGCAAGGTCCACGATGCATCGGTCATTGCAATGCGTGTATGAAATCATGATTATACGGGCTAAAGGCACATTCTCTACGCGCTTGATATACCTAGTCTTAGAACGTTTACAGCGCAAAAACAAGCTTCGATATTTCCTTCTCTGTCTTATAATGGTGTGGCCACCAGGAACTTTTGTGCCATCAATTATCAAACAATTTGTACAAAACTGCGCTAATTATATTATTTCGTTACCGTGCTGACAGCGCGACAGCTTCTCCACGGCTAGACGTTGGTGAAAGTGAACAAAAGCGTTCATGATGAATACTTGTGTCCGTCAAGACAGCCGATATTCAGCCCCGATTCAACCCAGATTCGGACGCCTCGGATCCACTTGAAACTATAGCACGAACAAAACTCTTGAAGCCTGAAATAGGTACCTACAGGTCTCGCAGGTTTTAGCGGTAGGTTTTGCACCTAGGAAACTTATAGTGTACTTCAGGCTATATCTTCGTCATCTTAAACTTTTAAGAGTTGAAGTTGCGATCGACTTGTTGGTTCAAAAGCCGGCCATGATCGTGTAAAATGGCTTCATCGTAGATCGATTAGTTTCTGAAATATAGCCGGAAATGTAAAAGTGCAAAACCTATATCTCGCGAGAGCCGTACACAGCCCGAATCATTTAGTGTCATTCCCAGTCCTTTGACCTAAAGAGGTCAACAAAGGTCACCTACCTAAATTTGCACAGCAGATTACGGTCCATTCAATTGAACTAGGGCACTGGAAACGGTCTTTCACGACTAGCCAGGATCTAAATAATAACATCAATCTTGCCCCCTAAAGCTCATGCAATGTCCTTGCCATCTACGGAAGGTTTTTTGTTGTTTTTTTTTTCTACTTGATCCGACGACCTTATCTCATCGTGTAACCATTAGAGATAAAATCGCTTAGTGGAGAAGAAGCTGCGGATCTCAGCGAGTCATTTAGTGTCATTTTCAGCGCTCTATCTCCACTGGGTGGGCCACAATCACCTGTGCCAATTCGGGGTCGTGACCTTTTTTGACACCTAAACTTCAAGTGGCTTGAAATAACGCAAAATGGGTTGACTCACATATTCTACATCTCAAGAGCTCTTGTTGTGTGCGAGCTTCAAGTGAATCCGAGGTGTCTTGAATCCGGGCTGAATATGGGCTGAATATGGGCTGTCTTCACGCACATAAAGTTCTTATCATGCTGCGTCCATACGCATACCGTTGATAGTGGAGACTGGAAACCCTATTGAGTGGAGCGTGGCCCCGCCACCCAGTCTGGGAACCGATGAGCCCAGAAGCGGGTCGATGACTAGCGACGCGCGCTTTGATTCATGAGCTAAAGCTTTACTTTCTTTTTCGAACTGCCCGCAGTTCCAAACACGCTTTTTTATTGCCCGCAGTTTCAGCGTCAGTCAGCCTCGCATTTTTAACCATAAGTTACCCATCAGTCTTTTGATGATGTGTAGAAAGTAGACCCGCAAGCGTGTCCGAAAACCTGTCCGATTGCAGCGCCACCTGCGCAATCCGGACAAGGCCAGTCCTGCTTGAGATATTGAGCGGTCATATCGTTCTGCGTAAAGACGTGCATTGTTTACAAGTGTATTGCTTAACTCTCCATGTAATCAAGAAGACTTATCGCCTTATCAGCAGCAGATACGTTAGACACGGAGAGACCGTATCTGTATTGATTAGTCACTCGTCACTCGACCGTTCACTGACGGTCTGCCACTAGTTCCACTCACTAGTCATCACCGCCTCGGAGACACATGTTCACCCATCGCCGGCAGTCGAGCAGAGCAGCTTCCAGCAGTCGACCGACTACAAAACTGGAGTCGCCCGGCACGGCCGACGTCTGCCGACAGCACCTCAGGCGTGGCGATCGGATCCAGACAACCTCCCGACGTCGGTCCGACCGGAACTAAAACGATGATCGGAGTCACTTGGTCCAGAGTCAGACGGTCTACGGTGCCCTTGTCAAACCAGACGGCCTTCTCCGGCGAAACTCCAACGCTGGTTGTCCTTTCGACCGTGGGATTGAGTACCGGGCAAGAGTCAGGCCTGCTAGCACCTCTCCTGTGTTGTAGCTGGGCTGCCGTTCACCCAGGCCGAGGTACTCCGAGTCGTTCCTCAGCATACAGTCGCATCTTCACATTTCGAGCTTCAGTAGTAGAAAGACACCGGTGCACCCTGGCAGAGCACGTGGGCAATTGTACTCGTACTTTACACAACCGTACTGAATGTGATGCTGATGGTGCAATTAGTTATGTTGCGATATAGCCCGCATTGGCGTTTATCGGTGGACACATTTATACAGCTCAATAGCTATTAATGATATTTTTAAACTTGTTGCATAAGACTCGATCCCAGTACAGCTCAGATAAGGAAATTAGTACGGTAACAGCGCTCGCATAGTATAACGGACACAAGGCATATGATTGAGAAAACCGCTACGAATCGGACATGTTCGCGATGGTCAGCGGGAGAAGTCCGACTCCAACGTGAAGGCTGCATCAGTAGATTGCGCAGTGCGCACCGGTCTGTACATTGAGCGTCGTCCGGCCCTCCGATGTCGTCCGCTGATATCCGAGTCCCGCGAGTGTCTGCGTCCGACCACGAGTGTCAGAAGGAAGCCTTCCCCGCGGACTCCCATCGCTTGCAGCGTTCGTTGAACCGTGGAATGAAGCAGCGGACAGGAATCAGTTACGCTCCCCCCGGCTCCGTGTCCCCGGCCAGTCTGCTGACGCCGGGATAGCTCCCCATCGACCATGTCCCAGCGCCCAGTGGTTTAGTTTGTGATTTGACATCGAGAGGTTTGTCCGGTTGTCAGATCGACTGAGACGTGTCAAAAAAGACTAGCGAAATATGTACAAAAGGTTATGTTCGAGCACCGGACTAGCATCAACACCCACAAGGAAATGCTTTTATAAATTGCTGACGATTGAAGCGCTGGTCTGTACATTGTATTTCCACAGCCGATCTAAAAATATTCAAATCAGCCCATCTTTGCGACAGCGATCGTGGTCCTTGTTTGAAACGAGACTTTCGTGATCGCACTGCCGCAAATGTAGGTGGCGCCAGCAATAGCGAAACGGGCACGCCGAAACGAGTTATCGGACAGAGAATTAATGATGACGCATTCATTGTGTACTGTTAAAGCAAACAAATAATAATTGATAAGGTATGTGATCCAGAAGATGATGCATTGGTTTTAGAGATGCCGGGACTACACTGGTCATTGGCGCCCAATAAGCAAGACAGTAGCAAAGGACCTGAGCAATCCATCATCGATCAACATAATCTCGTAATGACAAGGTCCTTTTTACACAATGATGCGAAAGCAGACATCAAACGCTTGAATTTGGTTTTGGTGTTCAATCGTTATACAGTATACACCGTAAGTACATTTACCAGAAAAATGCGTTTTGTTAGCATCTTACACTGGGCATCGATAAAGCCTCAGCGGCTTCCCTCCCCAGCTCGCCTGAAAATGGAATTTCGCATGAAGGTCTTCTAAATATTATTTACCTTGGTGTTGCTGTGGAATCATAGGTGGTTTGAGATTAAATGATGCACCAGCCTTGAAATTTCGCACTGCTATGAAAAAACCTTCAAGGCCGTTCAAGAATAACGATGCCCTGTCACTTCCGAAGCTACCATTCCATTTGCCAATTGACAGTTACGTTCAAGAGGCCTTGATGAGGTTTGCAGCTCTGCTCAGATTGCCTTACATGATCAATGTTCCAACCTATGCACTTCAGCTTCGATTCGGCATTCGAGAATGATTCACCTCCTTCGGCGATAACGGTAGCCAAACAGGGGGGACGAAGGTTGAAGGAAAACGGTAAGTTCCGGCATCCAAATCAGCCAGCATATAGACACTAAACAGGCCAACGTTCACCTGCTCCCATTCTGTTCCCTATGTGTGACCATCCCTGAATATCTGCCATCCCCTTGACAGGGACTGGGCTCAAGACGATGAATGTGCGACATCTATTTCAGTGACGGCAGAGACGCCACTGCGGCGGCCTGTCCCCCGGAAAAGGCGACTGCCAGCGCACGGTCCAGGCCCCAGGGAGAGTCACTGAGATCCCGAGCTAGATGTGGCTGATATGGCCCTAGAATGTCGGTGTCACCAGCCCCGAGCTGTCCAACCGCAGTCATTTCGGCAGCGGATTGGGATGCAGCCATGATGTCAAATGCACAGAACAATCGTGCGACTGCTGAGCGCGATGATACTCAACGTGGTGGGGAACTGGATAATTATGGTGGTGGAGGGAAAATAGCAGAGCTGCGGACTGCTGGACTGCAGAGGTAGCATAGATTTGTGAGTCGCGTCGGTAACAAAGTATCATAAATAGTGTCCCAAGAACGCCAGAGCGCATGTTGAAATTAACCATTTGTATTAATGTCTGCAACGTGACTATGCATGGACGATCGTCAAAACAAAACGAGTAAAATCAAGAAGGATCGGATCACATCTGAACTACATTACACAAATGATTCAAATGAAAACCAGTATTTGCTAATGTTCTAACAACTACTCTCGCTGCACCGTTGCCTAGCTAAAGTGACCACAAGCAGAGCTCTCCCGTATGACTATGAAGTTGTTCAGGGTATCGCACCACAGGCCTGTCGCCTGCATCTGTGCGACGAGTCAACATCACGGTCGGGATATGGACACAGGGACCGGCCCGGCCGCCACCGGTGCCCGCCTTCCAATCCCTACAATGATAGAGCGGCGCCCGCCCGCAGCGACACAGAGCGACCCGCCGCCCCAGCGAGCGGCGAGTAAAGGTGATAGGAGATGGCGATAGAGTACATGGCGACACCATGAATACAACAAGCCGCTACCGGCTACATACAGCGGCCGGCCGGCCTGGGGCCGCCGGCCGCGTTAAAACCGTCGATAAAGCGGGGCCACGGCGGTCGCTCGGACCGCCGGCCGGCCCTCTAAAACCGAATACAATCAACTAGAACAGCTGCTAGCCTCCGCCACCAGCTCTGTCCGACGCCGAGAGGACAGCCACCCAGCCGGCACTCACACACAACACACCACACTTCACACATACACACTCACAGCAGCCACCTGGCCTTCACTCACACAAAACACACAGACTTACACAGATACTCAATGACGGCCCGTCCCAAGAGACAGCAAGCATCACACAAACGTCCCACTTCAGTCAGAAAGGTACCAGAGATTACACCAGCGTCGATTTGTCGGAAACTGTCCGAGCGAGACAGGGGGTTCACTTTGGAAAACGTCATAAAACTGTTAGAACCGTCAGACACCGGACCATCTCACATCCTACACCAATTCAGACTAATGACACAAAGGGGTCCTGGGAGCAGGGAAAGTCACCCAGCGAGAGCAGGCCGCGCGCGGCAGACAGCCCCAGCCCCGCTCCCCACGCACACGCACACCGGGCAGCCAGCGCGGAACGGTACCTTTGCTGATATATCGGCCTGGCTCGCCCGCCCGTGCTCCGCCGCCGCCACCACCTGTGAACAGGCGCAGTCATTGCCGCGTGACCACACCGGCGGCACACTGCACGTGCCACGTGTCACGTGCCGTCACTAATGAGAGCGTGGCGCCGCTCAGACCAGCGGACTGTTGCTGGCGCTGTCGGCCGAGGCCAGCGCCGAGCCGCCGCCCGCCTTGGAGCGCTTGGAGAGCGCCGCCACCTCTTTGCTGAGCGAGCGGATGCGGCCCTGCAGCGTCTCCACCTTGGCCTCGTGTGCCTTCTGCTGATCGTTCATCTTGCGTCGGATGTCCTGCTCGTTGCGCAGGTTCTTGGCCTTCAGCTCGCAGATCTGACGGCAGGGCAGCTCGGTCAAACACGGCGCCACCCGATCAATGACAGGGGCTGAGTACAGGGAAGCAGATGATCGGAAAGGAAACTGTGTGTATGTACACCCGCAACCCAACAACGCAAAAAGTATGCTGCTGTGTGTGAACATTGAGCAGAATCATTCAAACAGGAATGTTCAAATCTGGCGTGCTACTCGAAAAGCAAAAAATTACATAATAGCCAGACATACAAATCAACAATAAAAAAAAAAACTGAAAAAGGTTAGGAATATCCGGTGCTGAATAAACAAACAGCCAACAGTAAGCATGTACATTGCTTTCCAATCTAAATGTTATGAGCGGAGAAATAAACACCAAAGATAACACTGCTGACACGAGCTTAACCCACGCCCCGTAAGACTATTCCCGGACCCTTTCACCCGTAGGGAGGGGGGCGTCCGCCCCCCCCGTGATTTCGGAAAGGTTCCGACCGATTTCGATTTTCAAAACTCAAACAGCATTCGATTGGGGAACTACCATGTAACCCAATTTCAATGACCAACTAGGTGCAACCGATGACATCACATGTCAGGTCAAAGGTCGCATTTCTGACCGTTTAAAGGCATTGTAAGAAATGCATTATAACATCGAGTAAAAGGCATGTTGTCGAAAATCATAAAAAAGCGTTGAATGTCTAATACATATTTTGCTACCAGGCTAGGTCACAGAGGTCAGGTCACCGAGGGTCACAATATGAACCTAACTATACTAAGGTCGTGTGATACATGTTCTCTGGTCAATTTTATAATTCAAATTCAATTATGTAGGTTTTCAAATTCAATGATGTAGGTTAGGCGAACATTAGTGCCGGTTTAGGTTACGTTCTGGTGAAGGTGCATTGGTATTGGTCAATCTGGTGAGGGTAAAATTTGGAGCATTCATTTAACACGCGCAGTGGAAGGGTTGCGAGTACTACGCCCAGTGGAAGGGGTGGGGGGGGGGGGCGAATGTAGCCCCCCCCCCGCATAAGATCTCAGCTCCCACTAAAGCTAAAAGACGAAATTTGGAGGGTAGGTGGAGGCTCTGGTGAACTCTGTTGTGAGTGAATTTCATGACCCTAGGTCAATATATTCCAAGGTCAAATGAGGTCAAATGTGGTGAAATCTGCCATACCAGCGACTTTTTTGCATTTACACGCCGATAACTCAAAAAGTTACCGCCCGATTTTCGTTTTTCTTTCACTAGACGAAAGGACACACATCTTTTAGTTTGTGCTGTGAATTTCTTTTTAATCCAGCAATAAATATGGCAGTTAGCACTTAGCAGCATGCTAAGAGTAAGATGTCGCCTGCTGAGGCGGGATCAGCCGACGCGGGAAACGCGGCAATCAAAATTTTGTGTTAACACGATCATATTTCAATTTTTACCGGCCGATTTTCAAAATTATTTGACCATAGGATTGTTTGTACATTTTTTAGTCTTCTCACAAAATTTGACGCGAATCGAACATAATTAGCGGTAAGGAGCGGGATGTAAAGACGGAACCGTCCCGCCCCAGCAGTCTACAATTCAGGCGGCGCGTAACGGCCGGCACCGGCTGCCGCGCCGCGGCAGCGGCAGGATATTTGACTTTACACCGCTATTTCTAGAAAAGTTGTGAACCGATTTTGTGAAATCTTGCACGAGCAGATCCGCAATTCAATTCTGGACAGCTAGCCAAAATTACATTAATATTATTTTTGCGGTGCGAGTTATTGGCGAAAAACAGGAGGGGTGGGCGAAATTCGCCCCCCCCCCTCCACTGCGCGTGTTAAAGCAAAGTATCCTTTTTAAAAACAACAGAGCCGAGCACGATAGCCAGTGTTGCCATCATACCGCGTCAGTGACCCGGTACGGAGACCCGTGACTCGGGGTCACGACGGTTTACTTTACTGGAGATAAAACAAGTTTGGCAACATATGGCATGGCTCTCTTTTTTAAAAAGTTAGTCCGAGCCTTTTGAATGGACGGATTCACAAGGACAGAGCCCCCGCTAACCGAAGCTTGTTGCGTTGACCCTGCCCGCTACCCTCCGATCGCGCAATTCCGGTTCTATGGCAGAATTTAGAGTCCAAAGTTTAACATGCGCACATAGCCGCGCACGGCCGGTCCCCTCACTGACTTCGCCTGGCTACGGCCTGCCAGCAGCCGCAACCATCCTGTCAGGAGGCTAAAACGTCAAGCGCCCGTCGTGATTCGAACCCGGACTGTTATAGCCGGGAACGAATGATGATGGTATGATTTATATGATATGATTCATATGAATGGTTCATACTTCATAGCCGACAGCTGTTGTGTTTCATATGGTAAAGCTCAGGTGAATTTTGCTAAAAATATCTATCCTGGCTATGACTAATTCACGCATTAAGTCATTGGCAGCATTTCCGTTTTATCCGGTTATATCATCAGCCAAACGATTAGGGTAAAGGTAAGAAGAGAATGCCAGTTAATTATTCAGAATAGTATCGCACAAGAGAAATTGTCATTTCTTAACCCGCGCCCCAGTGGCGGTCTCAGCCAACTTCGCCCTAGTGGGGGGGGGGGGGGGCATATGTTACCACCCACCTCTAACTCAAAAACTAAGAGTGTTAGAAAGACGCGGTAAAAAGCAGTCGATAGCTCTCAATGCGTATGTTGGAAAGTGTTTCGGTCATTTTTCACCTTAGAGCAATATTGGGGTCACCAGAGGTCATCAAAGGTCAAAATTTGCCAATTGTCATTATATTTTTCAGAAAACATGCCGCTATCTCAGGAACTATGGTAGATAGAAAAACGCATGGAAGAGCAATCGATAGCTTTTGAACTCTTCTTTTGAAAAGGTCATTATCAATATTGACCTCAGGTCAACGGTTTAGCCTCCAGAGGGCAAAAACTCCAAAAATAGCTGTTTTTACGAAAAGCGTTTTTCGACAATAACTTTCGACTACAAAAAGCCACGACATTTCTATTGCCAGAATCGTGTTCCCCTCGCCGAGACGCGTCGAATGAACTATAATTTGACCTTGAAAGGTCAACTTGAAAATTTGACCTCAGGTCAAGGTCATGACCTGACCGGAAAAGGTCATGTTGCATATCAGTCGATGCGTCTCAACAAGACAAACACAATGAGACCATCCCCAGCGTTCTATCTCTTTCTAATCGCGAGTTATTGGCAAAAAACTGTTTGTAGCCTCAAATGACCTCGGATGACCTTTCTAGAGGCTATCAGCAAAAAATGACACCTTGGTCATCACGAGTGGGCTAAATCATTGTGATTCTGAAATATTTGGACTGTTCCTATGCGTACACACGAATCTAGAGGCATTTTCATTTTTCTCCATTGACTTGTAATGGAAAGGTCACGCCACTGACCTGGCCTTAGGTCACGGATATAAAAAAATCCGAGATATACAAATTGTAGACGCCCATAACAGCATGCAATCCAGCAAGTTTAAAAGCTTTCTGACAAACACTGCAGGCTGGACATGATTGCAAACTTTTTTAGGCTTGGTCAGTTAACTTGACCTGGTGACCTGACCTGACATGACCTGGGGTCAAAAATTTCACACATTGTCCAAAATTGATGTACCAAAAGCTACCCCAAGCGGCGCGGCGCTAGGCGCCGCGGTTTTTTATTCACACGCAAAAAAAACGCGACAGGGTGGTAACAAATGCCCCCCCCCCACTGGGGCGAAGGTTAACCCGCGCCCGGCTGGGGGTCCTGGATTTCCACGCCCTGCTGGGGGGGGGGGGGGGTGTTTGAACACCCCCCCTTCTAACTCGGCTCCTGGGCCACGTAGCGATACGCGGAAGGCGGCGTTCGAAAGAGCGTCAAAAATAATGACGAAATCACTTCGGTCAATTTTTTGGTCAGGTCAAAGGTCAGGTCACCAGAGGTCATTAAAGGCAAAATTTCGCCGATTTCCAGGTCGAATGTCGACAATTTCCAAGAAGCCAACGCATAACTCGGGAACCAATAGAGCTACAGCGCCGCGGAAAAGCGCATTCGATAGCCCTATTAACGCCCTTTCTGAGTAATTTTCTCAGATTTGACCTAACGTCAACGGTTTTGCCTGCAGGGGGCAAAAACTGCAAAAATAGCCGATTTTTTGGGAAACAGTTTTTCTGCAATAACTTTTGACCCAAGCCTTGTACGAGCTTACTTTTACCGGCATCGTGTTCCTCTCGTCAAGACGCATCGAATGAACTATAACTTGACCTTGAAAGGTCAACTTGAAAATTTGACCTCAGGTCAAGGTCATGACCTGACCGGAAAGGGTCATGTTGCATATCAGTCGATCCGTATCGTCGAGCTGAACACATCTAAGGCGTTTTCATCGTTCTAGCATGCCTCTATCAAAAGTTATTTGCGAAAAACTGTTAGATACCATTCGTGACCTAAGATGACCTCAGGGCATAAACAGGGGTCACGGACACCATTTTCATGTTCAATGTGTCTAAACCACTTGTAATTCAGTGTTTGGGAGTGTTTATAATGTCGTTCGTCCAAAAGAGGCGCATTTCAATTTTCTCCCATTGACTTATAATGGGGAGGTCGCAAAATTGACCTGACCTTAGGTCATAGATATCAAAATTCTGAGATATACATTTTGTACATGCTATTGCTCTTAGCAATCGCTGAAAGTTTCAAAGCGATCGGTCACTCGGTGTAGCTATGACAGACATTGAAACTTTTTATGAGGTGAGGTCACTTTAAGTGACCTGGTGACCTGACCTTGAATGACCTTGGTCTGAAATTTTCACAACATGTGTAGAATTGATGTATGATAAGGTGTACCAAAAGGAGCGCCGCCGTTTTTGAGATATTCGCGAAAAACCACAAGGGGGGGTGTTCAAACACCCCCCCCCCCCCCCAGCAGGGCGCGGGTTAAAGGAATCGCATCTCCCTTATTTCTTTATGTCATGACTAATGTCTCATTTCAGCGCAAACCCTTATCCCATGCACCGTATCTAAGATATCTCTGATAGACCGCACAAGTTCGACTTTGTCCCCGGCCGCCGGTCGATCTGCGACGAGTACCTCCTTGTCCTTTCCGAGCATCTGTTGGTTTTTGAGCTGCAGCTGGCGCTGCAGGCTGGCGATCTCCTCCCTCAGCTGCGTCATGGCCACCACATGGTCCGACTGCTCGTCCTTGCGCGCCTTCTTGGGCTCGGAGCCCTCCAGCGGCTGGCGGGTGACGTCCGGGCGGTCCGGCCGCTTCGACACGTAGTACCTGACGGCGGGCGAGGGCAGCCGACGGTTAGACCGGGGCGGGACAGACAGTCCGGGACGACAGTCTGCGAACGGCAACGGAGGACAGACTGTAGTCCAAGTTGGTAGCGGCTTATCGGTCACAGAGAAACGGACTGTTTAAAAACCATGCGGCAGTTGAGAAAGGAGATCATGGTTCTCTGCATATGCATAGAATAAATCACTGTGTATACTGGACTTGATAAGCCGATAAAATAAGTGTATTTTATAAGCTAACGATTAACGAGTATACAGGGTGTCTCAAAAGTTCGTTCACAGGTACCAGCCATGCTTTTTTGTCAATAATTCTGAATCAACAATTAATTAACGGTCGAAATTTTGCATGGGCATTCGTAACAACCTTCCTCAAGCAGTCTCATTGTTTTCAAGCGCATTCGACCCTTCATGAGCTCACAAAAAGGGTTCATCTCTGACCATGGGTCAGGCATGAAAATGGAGGTCGCAAAATCGGGTCGGCTGAGAAACTCTCTATTTCAGGAGTAATGGGAATGGTTAAGTCGGAAATGACCCATGGCAAACTGTCGGCGAGGATGAGTACAACATGATGATCATCTAATAAAAACGGTGGCTAAAATTTTTGAAGGACAAAACCATGCGAGACTAACAGCGTTTTCAACGACCCTCGTACGGCAGCAGACTCGTGCTCCGGAAAGCAGCTTAAAATGAAGTCATAACTATTGAAAACTGACAAGAAGCTCACAGACAGAGGTTACCCAGTTTCACAAATTGCAGGTCATCGTAAAATAAAGACAAAGTATCATTTTAAATTGTTTATTATATCTATAACGCTAAATTTTGGGGGAAAATAACACGAAAATCGTCAATGCCAAGGACAACTGACCATTCAAAAGTGTCAATTAATGTAAATTTTTATCTTACGAAGTTTCAAGAGGCAGATCTGGAGCGAAGAGCTTTCTTTTAGACACAAAATCCCGACAAAACCGCACGATGGACAGGTTTTGGCCGTTTACAAAGCAGAACCTCTCCTGAGGAAAACACTCCGCAACCCAGTGAAGATCTTGTCATGGGGAATGATGAGCGTTTGGGATTTGCAAAATTTGCACAACGTATCTAAGAAACAGATGGCCGACACATTCTTCTACGATATGCTGCGAAAAATTTGCCCCTGGCACTTCCCATTTGTTCAGGAATGGGGTTGTTTTGAAAAGGAAAATGGTGCTTGGGAGGTCGGCGCCAGTCATTCATGAAGGAGTTAGCGCCAGAGAAGACCTACAATATACTCTCGGATGGTGTCGATGCAAGCTGTCGGCTTTCAGGGAGAAGCGGATGTTGCCGGGGAGCTCGTCAAACCTAAATCCGACGCAGAAACTGCAGGGGATTCCCCTACAAGAGCTTGAAAGCTGGTAACCTTTTATCAGCCTCCGGCAGCTGACGGAGCGACGAAAATCGGTATGGACAAATATTTTTGGAGATACAGCAAATAGTTTGATTTCCAACCTTCCGAATCAGTTGTCAAAGCATGCATATTTGTCTAGTGTGCACACAGACACCAAAACCTTAGATTTTTGGCCGGTTCTTATATGCTTTATGGGCATGGGAAATGTGTGAACGAACTTTTGAGACACCCTGTAGGCTTGTGTACAGTTTTACATGAATCGCCTGGATCAAATCCTTTTGATGATCCTCAAACAGTCTCTAAGACAGTTTCTTCAATGTCTAATCAGTTACGTTGCTTACTTTGGTTTGCGTTTCTCCTGGTTTTTGCCCAGTTTCACGTGGGTGTGGCGGGCGGGGTCGGTGGACTTTGTTTTGGCTAGAGCGCGCTTGTAGCTGAGCGTGCAGAGCCAGCAGAGCAGCTTACCGTCCACCTGGGAACGAGTGATGCGTTAGACAAACACACACACGCGCACGAACACACGACAGCCACAGAGCCAGCACAAAACACCCAAAGAGCCGGCACATCTAAGTTACAGATACAGCTCAAAACATTCACAGAGCCGGCTCACAATAGTCACAGAGTCAGCTCAAAGCAATCACAGAGCCAGCTCACAATAGTCACAGAACCAGCTCACAATAGTCACAGAGGTAGCTCACAACAATCACAGAGCCAGCTCAAAATAATCACAGAGCCAGATCACAATAGTTACAGAATCAGCTCATAATAGTCACAGAGGTAGCTCACAACAATCACAGAGCCAACTCACAATAATCACAGAGCCAGCTCACAATAGTCACAGAGGTAGCTCACAACAATCACAGAGCCAGCTCACAAGTCACAGAGTCGGCTTAACCCTCGCCGGCCGAGGGGGGGGCGGGTGCCGCCCCCCCCCCCCCATAGGGTTTTTTCGCGATAGCTCCGAACACGCTGGCGATAGAGAGCTGAAACTTGGCATACCTGACCTTTGATCCAAGCCGGATCTTTTGACACCAACCGCATTTTTGGGTCAGGTTAGGTCACTGACCTATGACGTCATAAGTGAACCTCAGCACGGTCTTCAGATGTCGCAACTTCGCAACGCCCTCACTGCCAGAGGAGATGTCACAGGGAAATGAAACTTGCAGGATCTAGTATCCATTATGAGTCCCACAACTTGTTTATCTCGGATTTTTCCTAAAGGTCATATGAGGTCAGGTCATTTTCGTGACCTCACCATTATAAGTCAATGGGGAAAAATGAAAACTGCTATTCTGGCGCCGGGAACGATCTTCAACTATCTCAAGCACACAGAATCGTGATTTGATGCACTCCTTGCAAGGTTAGATGCGTCACTTTTGCAATGTTGACCTTGCGTGACGTCATTTATGACGTCATCAAGGTCATATTAGTTTTTCGTTAATAACTCTTGATCAAATTGAGCTAGCGAGTCGGGAAAGCCACCAATGGACTCAGGAAGACCTACCGAATCGAATGATATGCGACATGACCTCTTTCGACCAACTTCGTGACCTGGGGGTGCTGACCTGACCTTGACCTGAGGTCAACACCCCAAGTTGACCTGACCCGGACAAAAAGTATATCATTCGACGCGCCTGAGCGAGGCAAACACGATGCTGCCAAAATCGGCGCTCTGCGGCCGTTTTTTGCGAAGTTATTCACCAAAAACTGAACCGTACCTTGGGGCACTTGACCTGACCTCAGAGGTCACCGGTTGACCTAGGACCTTAAAATCGGGTACCAATCTCTGCGTCTCGTAACGGCGCACACGCTCGTTTTTTTCCGCGACGCGCTAGCTCCACCAGGGGCGAAACGGCGAGGGGGGGTCGTACCCGCCCCCTTCCCCTCGGCCGGCGCGTATGTAGAAAACCAATAGGTCCGGCGAGGGTTAAAACAATCATAAAGCCAACTCACTATAATCACAGAGCCAGCTCACAATAGTCAGTCAGCTCAAAACATTCATAGAGCCAGCTCACAATAGTCACAGAACCAGCTCACAAAAGTTACAAAACCAGCTCACATTAGTCACAGAGCCAGCTCACAATAGTTACAGAACCAGCTCATCACAACAGTCACAACTCACAGAACCAGCTCACAATAGTCACAGGGTAAGCTCAAAATAATCACAGAGCCAGCTCACAATAATCACAGAGCCAGCTCACAATAGTCACAGAGCCAGCTCACAATGGTCACAGTCATCCCACAACAATCACAGAGCCAGCTCACAATAGTCACAGAGTCATCCCACAACAATCACAGAGCCAGCTCATAATAGGCACAGTCATCCCACAACAATCACAGAGCCACTTCACAATAGTCACAGTCATCCCACAACAATCACAGAGCCAGTTCGCAACAGTCACATAGTCAGCCCACAACAATCCCAGAGCCAGCAGATCACCTTATCGTCCACCTGGGAACGACCACAGCGTTATACACACACGAACGCATGAACAAGTACAGGTAAGCCGATATATAGAAACCTCGACACAGTCACACAGCCATGCACGCATATTCGCACTGGCTCAGACAGAGGTATACCCGGGCACACAGACACAACCTACACCTAACCTGTCGTAGCTGCACGTCTCTGAGAGATTGACCTTGGCCTAGACATCAGATGCCACCACAATTTTCACAAACAGATAACAGGCACATGTGAATGGAATATCAAACGCGACACCTATTCTAGCCATATGAGCAATACTGAAAATTTGACTATGCAGCCTTCCAATGGTGTTGCAAAATTTAAACCCTATCCGCATTAGCGTTTCTTTTTAATTTGAAAATAAATGAACAAAAACACACCAAATTATGCTCAGATTTCTGTTGACCTGTCACAAAAATTGATGGATTTAAGAGACCGGGCAGTTACATTCGAAAAGAGGAGCGTCGGTCGGTGGCAGGACGCTGAATGAATGGCTGAGAATATCAGGTAACTGGTCACAAAGCCAGACACACGGCAGGTCATGTACACACGGTCTGCTGGATGTGACGGAAATGATCAGCGCTGTGGACAGCCATCTGCTGACGTGGGCCGGTAAAGCGAGGCGGCTCGGTCCCATCCACTATGGCGGCAGACCGAGAGCCAGCGTTCACAGTCCCCCGTCACCAGAGCAGCGTCGGCAGCAGGTCAGGTACCGTGACTTGGTCGGGAGAGGAGCCGGAAGGATCCGCGCCGGACGCCGCATCCACCTTTTTCTTGTCCTCGGGGTCTTTGCGGTCGAAGGCGCACTTTTGTTTGCACTGTTCACAGGCCTGCGGCGGACCGTAGCGTTTCTCCGAGTTGGCGCAGCGCTGGCACCGCGAGCCGATGAAGGCGGCGATGACGTTGCAGTAGTCGCAGGCGGTCGGCTTGCCGTGCGCCTTCACCATCTGCTCGCATTTCTTGCAGATGGTGGACGTGCTGCCCTTGCTGCCGGTCGGGAGGGGGTGGGGTCAGTGCGGCACCCCCGGTCGGGAGGGGGCGGGGTCAGTGTGGCACCCCCGGTCGGGAGGGGGCGGGGTCAGTGAGGTCGGCAGCAGCAGAGGCAGGTGTGGCGGGGAGCGGGCAGAGGTAAATACAGACACAGAGTGACTGTGAAGAGAGAGGGTCGAGAGAGAGAGAGAGAGAGAGAGAGAGAGAGAGAGAGAGAAAGAGAGAGAGAGAGAGAGAGAGAGAGAGAGAGAGAGAGAGAGAGAGAGAGAGAGAGAGAGAGAGAGAGAGAGAGAGAGAGAGATCCAAGAGCAAGAACAATAGAATAGACAGAGACAGATGGAGAGAGCTACCAAACACAATCTTATCGAATCCCACAATCAAACATCATCTCAGTGATCAGCAGTGCGGAACATTTGTTAGCCATGACGACCTGAAAAAGAACAGAGCATAGTGCAACAGTCGACATTCAGGTCAGCTGGTAACAGTCACAGACATTCGCGAGAGGCACAACCGATAACAGTCGCTGCGTCCCCCTCCCTCCCTCTCCCCAGCGCAGCCCGCTGCCGGCGTTACCACTTCCACACCGAATCCACAGGTCGGCGGACCGGCGGACAGAGGTCGGCGGACCGGCGGACAGAGGTCGCTGGACCGGCGCGCCGGACACCGGGCAATGGCCGCGGCGCAGACCGCCAGGCCAGACCGGAAGCATCTACATACGCTCAGGCACCGGTTGATACAGCAAATGAGGAGAGTGGGACGATATGAAAGAGAACTTAGATGAAGCGAGACGGACAAACCGTATGTGAGCCTCATGCTGCCCGATTACGCTGCAGATACATTGGCTATAACTAATACGTTTAACCCGCGCCCCACTGGGGGGGGGGGGCTATTTATAGCCCCCCCTCCCGTTCTTCTGAAATAACTTCCAAACCGCTTGACGTATCGACGCCAAACTTTAAGTACCTTCGGCTGCATCAATTTGACACCTTGTGTCAAAATTTCAAACTGCTATCTCGGATTTTCGAAATTTTGAAAATTTCGAAAATTTTATATAATAAAATTCAAAATTTATATTTTTACATTTTTTCAAAAAAAAATTTGACTTTTCGAAAAAAAAACCGTAATATATGTGATAGAACGCATTATTATGACTAGCTCTAGCAAGTTTTAGCTAAATATCTTCAAAAATGGCCAAGTTATACCTACGCATTATTGCAAAAAAAATTAAAAATTATAATTTTTTTCAAATCACTTTTGCAGCACGAATTTGACATCGTACGCCAAAATAAATAGCACCATCGTGTTTCTGAGCTCAAACTGCATCCAATAGACACCTTTTGTGTTGAAAAATTTTAACTTCAAAATTTGACCTTTTTTGACCTGAAAGTGACCTGACCTAAGCTAAATTTGACTCAAAATGACCTCGAATGACACAGACGACATCAAGTTCGAAATGTTTGGCCTAAATGGACCATAAAACATGTGTCACGTGACCGACGGATGATATAATATTTTCGTGACCTGTGATGACCTGACCTTGACCTGAAAATCAAAGTACAAGTTTGGTACCCTCAGAGTATCTAGAGCATCTGTTCACGAGTGTGTGAACCAAAAATGAGCCTGATCTGACTTGTAAGACGGCGGCTAGAGCCCAAAACGTGAAGAAGCCAAAATGCTAATAATTTTTACTTTGACCTGACCTGTGACGTCATCGGTGACCTCGAGGTCAATGAAATTAGGTTTCGCTCGACAGTTTTTCCGGGGCTATCAGACGCCGTTTGAATTTTGACGATCGGCCCAGTAGTTTCGGAGTTAGGAGGGGGGGCTATGAATAGCCCCCCCCCCCCCAGTAGGGCGTGTTATACGCAGACCCCAATGCAAGTGGGGCGCGGGTTAATGGGTGGCCCTAGACATCTATAACTTCGGAAAGACAAGGACCGAAAGGCTTGTACTGGGCTGGGTATGCTATCATAAGAGGGTGGCTCGCTCTGGAACGAGGACAAGATTCATTCAATCTGAATCAAATATTCCCTCATGTAACCTTGTTCGCTGACAGCAACAGCCAGAGTCCAGCGAGCTTCAAAAGCTATGAAATAAAAATTTTGTTCGAAATCTGCATCATGACAACTTCGTTGCTACTTTCCCTATCCAAAAGCATTACATTCACCACTCTGCTAGTTGACGATTTGGGTTTTCAATGCGCATCATCACTGCCGCAGCCAGTGTTTCTTTTTTCAGCCTTTTTGGTGGCAAATCACACCTAATGGGAAATATATTTTCATCCCTAAAATATGAAAGACCAACTTTACTTCATCTCTGAAAAGTTTTATGTATTCCCAACAGCCAGTTCACTTGTCACTTGACAGTTGATGCACCCACATCCTTTTGTTCCACACCTTGTCAAGATCCTGACATGAAATCCTGGTTTATCAGTTAGCATAAAAATTGGTATTACACCATTTTGCAAAAATACTGCAGTTTATTTACTTTCTTTTTTCATCCTGGGATTTTTTCTTCATCGGCACACCCAACCAATATCCAATTTTAGAACACTGGCCGCAGCAGACAGTGCAGCGGTCGGTCAGCGGTCGGCCGGCGGCCGGTCAACAGCGTCTCGGGCGTCACCGACCGGTCCGCCGTGACGTCACTGGTCCGGTGCCGACGTCACTGGCACAGTGCCAAGTGCGAGGTCGACCCACTGCACCGATTGCGTAACTAGGCCGACCGACGAGGGCGGCACAATGCCCTCCGATCGACCCCACCGGCTCGGACCGGACCGAAACTAGTGAGAACAGACAGCAGGACAGGACGAATCCAGTCTGTGTGCCAGTGAATGCAAAATAGACGGACCTTCCGAACCTTCTAGCAATATTTTGAGAGCCATCGAGTAGCTTTAATGGGGGACAACTTGAGCGCCGTCTTTGCTGGTCGTATGCTGTTACTATAGGTGGCAGCCGGAGGACTAGAGGCATGGCATGTTCGTCGCGGCCACAGACAACCGTTTGGCATCGCGTCAGCTGGCTGCGATCGGAGTCAGCTGATGGCCGGGCAAGGTCGAACACCGAACACCGGCGCCGGCACGGCGCAGTGACGTCAAAACAAAGACCCTGAGTCAGCGGATACGGCCTGGGTAGGCGTTCAGATGGGGCGGGGCAAGGGAACCCCGAGAAACTCTCAATGACACCAAGCCATGACATGAGTTCCGGTCTGGTAATAACGGGATTCCTAGTCTTGATTCATGCCGTGTGTCAGAAAGTATTTCTAAAGAGCTCCTAGCTTCAGTGTCGAACACTTAAGCTGACTAGTGACTACCTGTAAGTAATTCAGTAACTGAATAGTGATACGGACATGACGGTGGGATAATACAAAACTGACCCATCGACCCAGCTAGGGTAACAAGACAGGTCAACAGAAGTCAGTGCTGCCAGCATAGGATGTTACACGTCACCTATCAGCTAAATGCAAGCTAAAAATACATGCGAAGAGCAATGAATGTCAAGTGAGATGAGGGTTAAACAAAGGTGTGGTCAAAATATTCACTGTTGCGTCGTAAACCGCTGGACACATTAAGTACTTTGACTCACAGCTATTTAAATTTACTTCCCATTAGGTACTTCAAGGACTTCCTATAAAGACTATATATAATATATAATTCTTTCATAAATCAAATCAATTTAATGATTTTGAGTGACGAACCAAGTTCATGTCAGTCAGGTATGTTCTCGCAGCCGGTGCTAGTGCCGCCAACTATAAAACCAGCGGGATGACAAAACCTAGTCGGCAATAGCCGCTTGGTCCATGGATGGTGCATACTGCATAAGGCAAAGGCGGCGTCAGCGGCACGCCGCGGTACCCATGCGGCTAGTGCACTGGCGGCAGCAGACCCAGCGGGCTGCGGGAACACCAACAGAGCACCGCAACGAGCAGCCGAGTCGTAACCTTTTGAACAATTCCCACCAGCGCATCACCGGTGACTTCGGTGATGTCAAACTTATATTATCATTTGAGACAAGTCTCTTAAATGTCAAGAAACAATTGCATAGGGGCGCCGTTAAGAGCGGCGTAGTGTGTAAGCAGCACAAACGTTCTTCCTTAATTTTTACATAACTGATATTGGTTAAAAATACAAATATGTATAGAGAAAAGGAACTATAACAAGGAAAGCAATATGGCCAGCGATTGTTGTGGACGCAAACATAAATGGCTAGAGATTATTGCAAGTTGACTTCCTATTGAAGTTACAAGAAAATTCTTTTAGGACAGAAACATTCTTTAAGTGCTTATGTGTCCGGAACTTCATTTTTCTGTCTATGTGGAAAGTAATTATGAATTATAGTTTTAAATTACAGCTAGAAAGGGTCTCAGAAGGCCACACAAGAAACAGGAAATCACTTGAAGGTTTGGTGTTTGGAGCGACAAGAAGCTGGACCATTTACGGCCGTCCAGCACGCGGTGCCCTGGTCACGAAGCTGATGATGGCACCCATTGACAGAGCCCGAGACCGTGCTGTGGGGCGCACTGACCTGACGTGACAGACTGGCGGGACGGCTGGCGCCACTTACCTTTCCTGCTGAAACTCGGATCGACAGTAGGTGCATTTTACCACGGGGAAACTCCCGCGGCACTCCTGAAACAACAAACAATGCATTAGAACAAGGGAAGATTGCGCCCTGAAGTCACGTTGGTTACAGCTCCTGACAGTTCCTGATCACAGCTCCTGACCTTTCTATCTTGCTTATTTGTCTCGTCCCGGCACCGCCTAGGATGTTTCCGTATCCACGATCGCCAGGAGAGGGTCGGATCCCAACCCCCCTCATGCTATCTCAAGAACCAACAACCGTATCGAGCCAAGTGAGGCGGCGTTCGAACGCTCTCCACGAGACCATCCCAAGGTCTTCACAAGATTTCCAGATGAAGGTTAACTTCCAGATTCGGTCATGTCAAAGGTCAAAGTCTGCCGTCTGGGGCTTTGGCAGGATGAGGCTTATGGACGGAGGATATCTTATTGATACCTAGCTTAGCGGAGGATATCAACGATAGTTTCTGCCCGAAACTCAGCCAAAGTGACTTCAAAGACTTAAGGCGGCCGCACACTAGGCCATTCGGCGGGCGACATTCCGCAAAAACGCAATTCCGTGGCGACATTACGCTTTCGTGGACGCCGAATCAGCTGCCGAAACGACAAAATTATCAGCCGACCGCTGCCAGCTAGCTGTCCGCGGGTAGAGTGCGCATGCGCGCGAACAGCCGCGGAGTTGCGGAAAAGGCTGGACCGGTTCAGCTTTTTCCGCGGCGACGCCGCGGACACCCGAAATTGTGGAACTTGAAACTCACCAACTATTGATGGAGCAGCCGAGAAATAGATTTCACTTGATAAAAAATCGTAGCGGCACTTCTTTCCCCATATTAAATGGTTTTTATACACTTCATTGGTTATTCCAATAATGGGTTACTATGTGCCTCTCCACAATTGTCTTTCGGTTTCTTGCATTTGTCGACAAACACGGTTGTTTACATTAATCACGAGCTTTATTTTTTGCAACTTCCTCCAGAAATTATGTCAAATTAATAGATATTCAAAACTTTATTGTACAGAAATATAGCGTAATCGCATTAAATAAGCAAATATTGTATTTGCTTAAATGTATTTAGTTTGCATTCGTTTATATTTATCATAAAATGTTTCACATAAAGTTCCTGAAAATACTAAGTAGAAAATCGCACCGCCGAATGGTCCTGTAAACTGCTGAAAACAAGTGGAAAGCCGCTGTAGGAATGTCGCCCGCGACATTCCGCTTTTGCGGAATCTCGCCCGCCGAATGGCCCAGTGTGCGGCCGCCTTTAGTGGGGATACCTTGCGAGAAAAAGTCATGCTTTTCGAGTAGGAAAAGCACTAATGAATTCTGAATGAATGCCGAATCAATGAAGTGATACGATATAGGTATTTCAAATGACCTCCCTCGACCAACCTCACGTTCCTGACTTTAGCCTGATCTTCACGTGGCCACGATACACACCATAATCCATGGGAGTAGCATCGTTTTACACATTCGTGTTTCGAAACAGAGAAAAAGTTTAGAAATGCTCGACAATGGGCGCCGAAATAGGCACGTCTAATTGCCATTCTGGCCTGACTTGGTCTTAGCCTTTGCACTTAGGCATAGGTAGACGTGGGTCGATGCAGCCCTTCCTGTCAGTTTTTTATGAATAGCTCGTGTCAAAAGCAGCGAAGAGCGAGGAAACATTCAACACTCAAGTTAATTAATTTTAAGCATACGGCATACTCTAAATATCATGACCCTGACAAAAAGCAGCTTTAACCTAAAAACTCATGAGCCACAGGTCAAAATTATTTTGGTGGAACAGGTCATAAGCTGTGGCCTAGTTCTAACGACCATATCAGACAGAACAGCGAATCAACGCATGTCGGCGCCTATTATCTGCGCGTTTCCAAACCTTCTTATGATTGAAAACGTGCGAACATGTGAATTGTGAATACTGAAGTGATGTTTGCCCCGTGAATAGTACCTAGTAGGAGTCCAAGGCTGATCTTACCTAACCAGTTTAGCCTAACCTAACCTACCTAGATCAGGGCCTATTTTAACATGTTGACTGGGGGGGACACTTGCCCCCCCCCCACTCAACAAAATTGCCCCCCCCCAGTCGTCGATATTTGCCCACTATAAAAATGGGCATAAAGGAACAGGATGACAAACATACTACGACTTGTTTTGCAATGGATGATTTGGAAGATAGTGTAAATATGTAGATAGCACATGTATAAAAACAATTCATTAAGAAATGATGAAGGGGAAAACTGTTACCAAATTCAATTTTGAAACACGCTGGAAATGGCGCCGAAGTTGCAGCGTTGCGCAGCGCATTATTGAGTGGCTCCCGTGTCTCTGCCAAACCGGGTCATATAAGGACATTCTGATCACTCAGTGCAATTTACATTTCTTCATAGCACCCAAATTTAGCCCAAATCACACACTTAACCCGCGCCCCGTATGGGGGCCGAAACGCCCCCCCCCCCCCTGTCCTTTTCCGTCTATATCTCCTAAACGGCTGGAATTATATCGCCACCAAACTTTCAGCACCCCTCTCGCATTCAATTTTACACATTGTGACCAAAAATTTTCCAGAGGCTATGATAGGTTGGCCACAAATGACGTCAGAATGACATGTTCTGTCATTTTCGACCGAAAAAAGACCTTCGCGAGAAGACCTGTCAGGCATAAAAACTGTTCAAAAATGATGACGTCAAATTTTCAAACTCATTTTTTGGCAATTCTAGACCTTGTAGGGCAAAACAAAGACCACCATTAGAGTTCCCGGGACGAGCTGCATCGAATCGATACCCATTTTATGCAAAAATATCAATTTTGAAATTTGACCTAATTTGACCTGACCTTCACCAAAACGTGACCTAGGCTGGCCCCAAAGGCTGCCTAACCCACATAATCGCATTTGTCATGTAAAATGGACCATAAAACATGTATCACAGACACTTTCATATTGTGACCCCCGGTGACCTGACCTCGCTGTGACCTGACCTGGTATCAGTGACCTCAGATAGCAAAGTATGTGTTTGGCGAACAATATACCATCGATGGTTTTCAAAAAATTACCAATTTACTCGATTTCACAACACATTTCTTGAAATGCCTGTGAACGGTGAAAATTCGACATTTGACCTGACCTATGACGTCATCGGTTTGACCTAGGTCAATGAAATTGAGTCACAAGGTAGTTCCCTGGTAGGGCTACCCAACACTGTTTGCCGCTTGTCGCTTTGTTGCGTGGTTCTCGAGACCTTAGGGGTGGGGGGCAAATATCCCCCCCCCCCCAGCAGGGCGCGTTGCTCGGCAGACCCCAGCAGGGCGCGGGTTAACCCGCGCCCTGGTGGGGTCTGTTTATAACGCGACCTGGTGGGGGGGGGGCTATTTTTTGCCCCCCCCTCGTATCTCCGAAACTACTGGACGGATCCGCAAAATTCAAACGGCGTTCGATAGCCCTGTCAAATTTGTCGAAGGAAACCAAATTTCATTGACCTCGGGGTCACCGATGACGTCACAGGTCAGGTCAAAGATAAAATGTTTCACCGTTCACGCTTCTAGGGAAAGCGCTATAACACCGAGTAAAACGCATTTTGTCGAAAATCAGCGATAAGACGTCAGTTGTCTAGTACATATTTTGCTATTAGAGGTCACTGGTCATACCAGGTCAGGTCACAGGTCAGGTTACCAAGGGTCACCCCATGAACCCAACTTTACTAAGGTTGTGCGATGCATGTTTTATGGCCAGTTTTTCATTTCCAACCCAATGGTGTTGGTTATAAGACCATCAGGTACGGTTTAGGTCACTTACTGGTGGAGGTCAGGTCAAGGTCAGGTCAAAAAAGGTCAAATTTTAAAGTTGATATTTTTGCATTAAATTGGTATCGATTCGATGCAGCTCGTCACGGGGAGTCTAATGGTGGTCTTTGTTTTGCACTACGAGGTCTAGAATTGCTAAAAATTGAGTTTGAAAATTTGACGTCATCAATTTTGAACAGTTTTTTCGCTATAACTTCGCCAAAAAAAGAGGTATCAATCTAAAATTTGGTATGTGGATGGAAGGCGGTAAGGACTATCACATATATTCCGGTTTTTGCGAAATTCAAAAAACTTTTTGGATTTTTTGACTATTATATCCCAAAAATCTATTTTTTGATTTTTGGGGGTCAAAATCCAAAAATTTCAAAAATCCGAGATAGCAGTTTTGTAGCCCTGTCAATTCTACAGCTTTTATGTCCTTATCATTTTTCTGTATTTGCAAAGCTATAGGCCTGACAGCTCTTCCCGCGGAACCCTTTTTTGGGTCGAAAACGGCAGAACATGACGTCACTCTGACGTCATTTCCGGCCAACCTATCATAGCCTTTGGAAAAATTTTTGGTCACCATGTGTAAAATTGATGTCCGGGAGGGTACTGAAAGTTTGGTGACGATCGGCGCAGCGGTTCTGGAGATATATCGAAAAGTCTGGAGGGGGGGCAAAAAATAGCCCCCCCCCCCCCACCAGGGCGCGGGTTAAAATAGGCCCTGACCTAGATCCAACGTAACTAATTTCGACCATTCTTCACTGGACCACGTCGTTTACATACTGAATTTCAGTAAACCTACGCGTGTCCATGCCACTTGAAGATCAGGTCAAGGTCAGTGACTCAGGTTAGTTTAAAAATATGTTCATACACAAACAATCATTCGTTCCGTCGGAACCGTTTCGTAATCAAATCCTCCTCCTCCACGCCTCGATCCCCTGTTCCGGGCTGGACGGGCAACGTAATCAATATTCCATGCAGGAAGCTCCGTAGGAGCACGCCCGTAGCCGGGTGCAGTATCAGTGAGGTGGGTCAGGGTGGCCTGTCCAATTGGATAAGCTGAGTCCAGCTGACTCACTAGGGTGCCCGCCCAGACCAATGTCTCCCCCCCCTAATTCCTAGCACCCTTCCGGCGGACGCCGGTGAAAACAGGGCGCCGGAGGACATATAAGTCACGTGACATTTGGAACTTCTCCCCCTCCGTGGGCCTTCTACCGATGCTAAAGGTCACGTGTGATTTTGCGAACCTTGATCAAATCGCCCCAGGCGCCCTGTTTTCACCGTCGTCCTCCGGCGGACGCCGGTGAAAACAGGGCGCCGGAGGGCATATAAGTCACGTGACATTTGGAACTTCTCCCCCTCCGTGGGCCTTCTACCGATGCTAAAGGTCACGTGTGATTTTGCGAACCTTGATCAAATCGCCCCAGGCGCCCTGTTTTCACCGTCGTCCCTCCCGGCTATGAAATGGTCTCGTCAGACCGAAAGGGCCTAACCCAACAAAACAAAGTTCGTTCCCTAGTTCAGGCAACCGAACGTTGTAGTCCCGGTGTTGTAAGCTTCGAGTGCCCCCGGTTCGAGTCCCCACGGCGCTCGATACATGAGACCCTTGACGGGCTGATCGCAGTTGGTGGGTGCTGCGCAGCCGCAGCTGGGACGGACCGTGTCCGATTTTGATTGGCATCAGACACGTGCATGGATTCGAGACAATGGATCTGGTGGGAGGATCTGATCTTATGGATTCTGAGCTCGGATCCGATGGGATCATAGATCCAGCTCTCTTAAAATTATCGAGAGATCAATTGGGATCATAGATCTAAGATCCGAGTCTGATGTTTTACTCGAGATCCAGTTAGATCATAGATCCTCATTCCCTAAGGATTCACTTGTTGAAAACCCACAAAATTTCTGTTTTAGCAATTTTTGTGATTGCAAGTCATAATTCACAGTTTTGTGACATTTATTGACATATAAACACTTGGAAGCATGTGCATGGTAGGATCCACTCAGATCATAAATTCATGTTTTTTGGTTTCTTATGACTTCAGATCTTATCATTATGAGATCAAAATCCAGGATAGGTATATTTGTGATGCGGCATCCAGTGCGTGCAAAGATTCCAACATACAGTTCAAGTTTGCTTTGAGATCCACTGAGATCATAGATCCACCCCAGTCCTCAGATCCATGCACACGTCTGATGGGGACATTAACATTTTGGCATTAAATAGTATTCTCCCACTAATTCAACCCAGAATTTCAACACTGGATAGTAATCTTAGTTGAAACAAGCTCTGCTTATTTTATCTAGGTACTTATGCTTCATTTGAACCAGAACCATAAAGAAGTGGGCATTGAGCATATTATGACAGGAAACATTCCCCATCATAGGCTCCAGGCATGTCAGCTGCCCATTCACTGTTCACACATTCAATGTACTTATTCCCAATCTAGTTCTGTCCTGCAAATTCTTCCATAAAATCAAAATGTGTTCAGCAATTAGTTTGCATTTATTGCAAAATAACCAAACAAAAAATCAATCAGAAAACTACATTTGAAAACTAAGTGAATAAACATTATGGTAAGAAGAGGTACCTATCTACATATAGTCCAAGCCTTTTGCCAAGTGATGCTTTTATTAACTTGGCATGATATTTTATTTAAGATCAATTGCTTTTTGAACAAACAGACTGACAGAGCCGGTCAGCAGTACACTACAATTCCGTACAAAGGCAAACACGATTACATCAGGTCAGAGGTTATTGCGTCAGGACAGGGGTCACCCGAACGTAATCGGTTTTGCCTTTGCACGGCAGAGTACAGCACACACACAATGCATAGCAGTAAGCTTGTTTCATAGGCCTCAACCTGTACCATCAGGCTGAACTGAACTTAACTCTAAATGATTTCAGCTATTCTTATTCATTTTAGCCACATCATCAAAATGGGTTGCTATTGCAAGAGAGATAAGGAATCAAGACATGCCCACTGGCACTACAACTATGCTTTGCAATGCATCATGATTAAATGCTTCAATAAGATAAAAAAAATATGACAGCTTTTAAGCATCAAGCATGAAAGAGTGCAATGCATAAAAGTAGAACAAATGAGATAAAAATAATCCAGCCTATATATTATCATGCGCCACATTCGTAGCATTGCGAAACTGACCTTACAAAGCTGCTGTCCCTGCGAAAGTTCCTCAAATGGATGTCTGCTAAAACACCTAGAGCACGCAAACAGCATGTCGGACATGTCACACTTTGCCAACCGCACAATCACAGACTGAGCAGTATATTCACAATTTCCGCACGACGCGCACCCCACTCCACCCGCCGTCTCAAACGCCACTGACGTCACTCGCCGTTAGAATTCGATTCTCCGTCACTATGGTACTGGGCTCTCTAAGTACCTCAAAAAGTACATAATTTTGGCTTTTTATATACAAGAATTTTTTTTAAATTAGGTTCAATGTTACCTAATTTTACTCATATGAAATCATTTTGAACTGTCTTGAGCTTATTTTTTGAAGAAATCCCAATTCACCTTTTCTGTTGAATTACAAGTACCTGAATCACCCTAGCAACAGCCCGTCACTATTGTACACAAACCTAACAAGTACCAGCTGATTGCGATTCGAGCCACAAGCCACAACAAACCATTAATAATAGCCGGGTTCACAACGGCATAAACCTGACCGGGCCAGCTAAGCCCTCTAGAGGGCCAGCGAGGCCCGTTTCAGTAGGAAGAAATCTAGTCTAAACTTAGTTGTGTTCAGTTCCTCCTATATTATTCAAAATAAAAGTGAAATGCAAACAAAATACGCATCAATATTGTGCAAACGAGTGTTAACAGATGAAATCATATTCTAAAATATCATTTTTACTTGATAAATCATAAGGAAAAAAGCGAAAACATTAGTATGTATTTCCTACTATTTGTAAGACTAACTTCAGACTAAATACACCAAATCAGGCAACTTTCCTATTAGAGATGCATAACGAGACTGTTTTGCCGTCTGTAATACCTATAAGGCCAAATTTTGGCGTTCAGATGCGAACAATTCATTAATTCTACTAATAAATGTACGTCGTATAAGCCACGACAACGTCAAATCTCCCGTTATACACGGAAACTCACAATGCACCATTAACACACGGCAACCTGCATCTCTAATCTTCGTTCAGCATGCTTGGCTGTGACTTCTAGGGACTGGGGTCCGTATGGCTGTGCTGAGACCTCAAACATGGGTCGAAAACTGAGGTCCCTGGACTACTGCGGACCTTTGGCTACTGGTGGATGAAGGAGAATGCAGAATTATCCTCTGAATATACCCCATTTCTAAGCAGTGTAACACGTGGAATGAATTGAAGAGTACCTAACTACCTACCACCTGATCTGAGCAGCGAAGTTTGTTGCTGCTCCCCCAACCTCAGCTAGATCTTGACCCTGGCCAGTCGGCTGGTGCTCTTTGCTGGCCCCAGTTTGGTTTGAAAGCATACATGTCCAAATGATTTTCATGAACCCTTTTCAGCTGAGTGACTCCAACTGCCATGTGCTCTAATTGAATATCTTAAAAAGTAAGCTGTTGGGTCCTGACCTTTCCATCTTGGTTCTCACCTTACATGTACACATGCACCAAACATGTAGATATAATTTATCAAGTTCTATATATTTTTTTCTGAAATTGCACAAGCAACAATTAACCATAGGCACTGCTAGCAAATAATACTAGTGTTAAACAACATGCAACACTCTGCAGGCAAATGTTTCCACTAATCCAACCAGCTCACAACCCATCCTTGGAACATGAACACAGTACAAACAGGAAGAAAATTGAAGAAACTTAAACCTTTTGAAAAATTAGCAGACTAGGGATGAATCTGAATTTAAGCAAAGTTGCTTCAACACTTCGCACAACTATGCACAAAGTCCAACACAGCACATACCATAAGCATTGCCAGCAGTGCTTAACAACATGCAACACTTTGTAGGCAAATGTTTCCACTAATCCAACCAACTCGCAATCCATCCTTGCAACGTGAACACAGTACAATCAGGAAGAAAATTTAAGAACTTTTTTTAGAAATTAGGAGAGTAGGGATGAATCTAAATTCAAGCCAAGTTACTTCACCACTTCGCACAACTATGCACAAAGTCCAACATATCCATTCACTGATCACTCTATAGTTCACTTCCCAAACTCATGGCTTGATGCATTTAATGAACATGCTATTTCCTGAAATTATGTCAATTGAAGAGTCTTAAATCAAAAGAAAAAAGAAAACAATGTTATGAACAATCTTGCAGACATTTCTGTTGAAGGATTATTCTTCACCACTCTCCAGCCTGGAATAGAAGAAGACAAAAATACTTGTTGATGCATATTAATATAAATACAGACAACACACAATTTAATACTTTTTCAAGCCAGAAACTAACCTGCAACAGATGTCCAACAAAGGGAAATACACTGACGCATCTACTGCGTTTTAAGAGTCCACAAACCACAGGCAAGTTCAGAAAGATGGAACAAGAACAGCATAATCAATCTACAAAAGTTCTTCTTTATCATTTTCCTATATTGATATGCAGTTTCCTTAATCTAAATCAGATTTCAGAGCAAGATGCTGGACACAGCGGTATCGGTTACGCTGGCGTCACGGTCAGCAATAGGAAGGCAGGTAGGTAGGTAAGGTGTAGGACGTAGGTATGTAGGTTGGTAGGTTGTAAGTTTGTAGGTAAGGTTAGGTCAGGTTAGATTATGTTTTATTATACCCAGTATAAAATATAAATTAAATTGACACATTCGCCGGCTAGCGTCGACAGAGACGCCAGCTTTACCAATACCGCCAGGCGCTACAGCCTGCACACAAATACCTATATGTATTTTTAATAGAATAAACAGCCTATTTCATTTCAATCAATAGGTAATACAGAACTGCAGCAATATTATTGAATGCATATAAGCACCCAGTATTTCCATGCACTGGCATTACATGGAAATTAGAGACAAGTATAAATATATTGCATATTTATAAATGCCTTATCAGGTAGAAATTTAGCAGGGAAAAAATCAAAACGAAAGAGCAAGAAAGTTGAAGTAGGTAAGTAAGAGCTGCCAGCAAGCAAACGAACCAGCACATTCATTAAAAACATAAATTCATAACACCTACCTTAGCCACAGACCGTCAAAATACAAAAACAGCTTTAGAAACGTTCCATACTTACCTATCTGACAATAAATAGATATCGGGGGGTATATCGGGGCCCAGATATCGATACTCAAATCGATATCTGGGCCTGTTCCAGCGCCTCCAGAAACCTCCAGAAAGCTCCAGAAAGCTCTAGAATCCTCCAGAGAGCGTTCCAGCGCCTCCAGAAAGCTCCAGAAAGCTCTCGCCAAAGCTCCAGAAACCTCCAGTAGCCTCCAGAGAGTTGGGAGGTCCAAATTTCTCTGGAGGCTCTGGTCTACAATTATGGCGCACATGTGACAATCACGAATGTAAACAAAGGACTTTGGACTGATAATTTTACAACTTGAATGTAAAGAAAATCACATTGCTATAATTTTGTTTATCTTTCTTACTAAAATTGAAAACAAATTTTGTGTTTCAAGAGAGAACAATCCTTATTCTTTTGGTATCTGTGACGCCAATCTCCAGAAATCTCCAGAGCCCTGATCGGCGGCCGGCTAGTACTCTTGCCCGCGCTCACATACGTGCACGTTACCCCGGCAACGGGCTATTGACCAATGAGAAGCGAGAAAAGTGTTACGTCACTGCGATTTTTCATATACCTGTGCCCCCCGGACGTGACGTAGTGTGCTCGCGCGCGTGCAGGGTCTCTGCGATCGAAAAAGAGCGCTAGCACAGTGCTGCCAGATTTGGAGGATTTCCGCAAATCTGGAGGATTTTGAACTCTATTTGCGGACAAATTTCGCGTTTGGAGGATTTTTGATTCTGGAGGAAAATCTGGAGGATTTGTCACCCGATTAATATATTCAATTTCATGAAAAAATACAACGCGTTCAAGACTCAAAAGACATTTTCCTGCCCAGCTTCACCCTACCCGTTAGGATATATCACTGCCCTTTATCACCGTGAGACTGGAATGTCTCAGTCTGTAGCTATATCCACGAATATCATGGTGACTATTTGTTCCTATTTCGTGTACGATTGTACCATATGTTTTTGAAGGTACCGAACTACTGGCGGATCAAAGGGGGATATTTGGCGCAAATTCCCCCCCCCCCCCCCCTCCTGCAGCGTCCAAAATCGAAGAAAATTTTCGTTTTTTTTTCAAGGATAAAACGAAAACTAAACAACTTTTATTATAAAAAAGCATCTTTTAAACTACACAGCAGTGCGAAAGGAATCGAAATCCGATGAGTTTTTAGAATTTGGAGAAACCTTTTCGGAGATATGCCCTCCCGCAGCGTCCAAGACCGCCTATCTGGATCCGCCAATGGGATTTGGAGGAATCTGGAGGATTTTTGTAACTGATCTGGAGGATTACAGCCTTCTCCATCTGGCAGCACTGCGCTAGCAGCGCGCCACTCGACGCCGCAATTGTCAAAAGCGGCGTGTTAGTATGCTTTATTATGAATGATGTGTGTAAAAGTGAGTTTTTATGTTGTTTATTTGGAGGAAATGGTTGGAATAAATTAAGTTATTTTTATTTCTGTTGGTTGGAGTTTTTATTCAAAAGATTTCGGTCTATACCATTGATATTTACTGAAAATACCTTCGCTTGAATAAATTGCAGATATTTGGCGACTGAAGTGTTAGGTAAGACTAAATGATATGTAAAAAGGTAAGAGACACCCTGATTATCATTTGAGAAACGAAAATATATGAATTTTCCTTATAAGATTCGCTCAATATGCTACTCCGCGGTTTATGCCCCGAGGGTGTCCGAGGGTTCCCGTTAGTTTGTCGTTGGCGCTCGGCTCGCGCGCGAGCCGACGTCACCGCGTGTGACGTCGGCTCGCGAAATACGTCATACCCTGCACACAAAATAGCCGGCTGCCGAACAGCGCTCAGATTGCGTTCCAGCGCCTCCAGTGAAACCTCTGGTAGAGCCTCCAGTCAAGAATTTCTACTGGAGGCGCTGGAACAGGCCCTAAAATTGTCCTAGATGCGATATACGCGCATGAGCCCAGGTTCTCATTTCGAGGCCGGTAGCCCACCGTAGGTGACAAATTCAGTGAAAAGGTGCTGAGTCAGTAAATCAGCGTGACATCTGCATATTTTTTTCTCCGTGGAAATTCGCAGTGGGCCAGCCTGGCCATCTCCGCGGCAGGTGGCTTAGCTGGCCCACTCCGATGCCAGGTAAAGGCAGGCTCACATCGGCGCATAGCTGCTGAGGAAATATTGTTTGTAAGTGAGTATTATAGGCTTTTTTGGATTGAATGACTTTTTATTCGTCATAAAAATCGAAGTAGGGCATTTAATTACTGGTAACCATTTATCGCAGGCGTGTGTAGTGAGACGTTGGGTAGGCATGTGGAGTGTGGTGTGAACCGCATGTTAGCCCACTACCGGGCCTCGCTGGCCCGCTCCGATTTGTGTCGTTGTGTGCGGTTTCACTGGGTTTCACAACCCTAAAAACAAGATTATAGGGTGAAAACATGTTTATTTATTGAAAGAACTCGCGTTTGCTATATACTGAAGTGAGTGGTCGGGTGGCTGTGACGATATTTATACGCTAGTTGCAACAGTATTGCGCTAATTCAATTTGTGTTCTCGAGGTTTAACAGGGCACTGGGCAAGCAACGATAGTAATCTGGATCGGTGCTCCGTACGGCGCGAACTGGAAATAATTTATCTATAATCCGGCGTTTTTAAAGCATCATGCTGCAAGGCCTGAAGGGAGTATTCCACAGGGATAAGAACAAAGCTGGAGCAAATTTGTTAAAACAGGCTTCTTCGTCGCAGAAAAGACGAGTGTCTGATGTAGGGGAAGATAGTCAGCGTCGGGTCCGGATATCCGACGTTAGCAGCGACCGATTGCAGGCGGAACCAAGACGAAACGATGGCCCAAGCCAAAGTAACGGTCAAAGCAACCAGCTCAACTCATCTCTGACGGCCTCCTCCCGTCTGACAATGGAGCCTCGCCCGCTGCCCAAGCGCAAGTCCTTTTCTGTGGAGCCGCCCGCCAACGCCGAACAAAGCTCACAGTCCCTGGCGCTGGCAATGCTCGGCGAGGGCAAGCAACTGCAGACGGACGGCATGGTCAAGGTGGCCACGTCCATCAGCACGCCGTCAGAGGTGATGTGCTGCCGCTTCAGCAGCCGGGGCAACTACTTAGCCATCGGCATGGTGACCGGTTCGACGTCGATCCACCACACGGACACGGCGGCCAGTCAGATGGTGCTGCTGCAGGACAGCGACACGCTGGAGCGCTGCATGCCCGTCACCTGCTCCAAGTTTGTGCCCGTGCCCGAGGGCAAGGCGTCGTCCGTACTGCTCAGCACCTACGGCGACGGGTTGATCAAGTTCTGGCGCTTCCAGACGGGCGATTGTCTGCAGACGCTGGATGTCGACGAACAGGTGCTGGCACTCTCCTTCGACTGTCTCGGCAAGTACTTTCAGATCGCCGGCGAGGACGGCATCATCCGTGTGTTCGACGTGGCCACTGGCACACAGGCCGGGCGGCTGAGCGCCTCGTCGAACCATGCGCTCAACGACGGGCACCGGTCTCGCGTGTTCGCTCTGGCCGGCCACCCGCTGACGCCGCACGAGCTGCTCTCGGCCGGCTGGGACAACACGGTCCAGTTCTGGGACATGCGCCACCCGCACGCTGTGCGCCGCATCTACGGACCGCACATCTGCGGCGAGGGGCTCAGCATCGACCCGTGAGTAATCCGTTGACAGACGGACATTGACGAGATTGACGGACTCAATTCACACTTTTTCTCAATTCTCAATTTACCGCTTTTTCCTGTCAGTGGGCACTGACGACATCTCATTCACAAAAGACCTGTGTGCACGGGATTGACTCAAGGCGACCCGACTCGCCGATGTATAGCAGCGCTACGAACTCTTGTTCACGCAAGAAACTAACCATACAGATAGTTCTGCATCTGTGAAATGCTAGATGCCCCGCCGATTCATGTCTGTTGTTTGTTTTTATGATTCGATAATCGACATGTTTACTCGCTCGTCCCTACACCTAATAAAATCCCTGTTTCTAAAACTCGTCTCCCACTCGGCGCCGTTCGTGATCCGTCGTTCGCTTCGTCGTATCGTATGTCTAACCTCACTAAGCCCTCCCGCTCTCGACTGTCTGCCTGTTGTCCCACCGCTCCATGCCCGTCCGCCCGCTGATCCGTGCCATCTCCTGGCGGCATGTCCTTCAGCTTTACCAACCACATCGTGACGGCGTCGTGGCGGCGGCGCCAGGCGCTGCAGATCTGGGACTACGGCTCCGGTGAGCTCATCACCGACCTGCAGCCGGACACGTACGAGAGCATGCAGACCTGCGCCCAGTTCATGGGCAAGGACTTCCTGGCTGCTTCCGGCGGCTTCTCAAACATCATCCGCGTCATCGACAGCAGGTCAGTAGTGCGGCGACATCAGTGATGATAGGTCAGTGGCGTGGTGACGTCAGTGATAACAGATCAGGTGGGGGTTGTGGACGTTACATATGGCAATAAAAAACAATGTTTTAACACTATGTCTTTCACTTTTACGTGACTTGAACTGCGATCAATTTGACTCGGAAAAATACGAATGCAAACGCTAATTTATGCGTAAAATATGCATACGTTTAACTTGAGGCTTACCTCCGCTCCATTGGGTCTCCGTTGACAGGACGTACATGACGAACGGCATGGTGCGGAACCTGCCCCAGAGTGTGCGCTGTCAGGACGTGCTGGTGTGCGAGGACAAGCAGTTTCCTCGCGTGGTGGCCTGCTACGGCTCCGAGGCGCTGCTCATGGACACCTGGCACTAGGTGAGGCCGTGCTGGGGCCGGCTGACGGCGGATCGGGACTCACTGCTGACGGGCGGTATTCAGTCGGCCATGCCCGCCCCGTGACCAGTCACGATGGCAGTGTGGCGGGGCTCCCAGACACCGGCCGTCCGTACTCTCGCAGGGAGCCGGGAATTTGACGATCCCGGAGAGTCGCGATTTGCGTCATGCACCAATGATGCGTGTTACATTGTTAAGTTTGTTCATTACAAAGTGTTCGATCCTGCATTCCTATTTCCTAGTGAGCTGACCATGAAACGGCAGCGGATGACTCATCCTGAACAGATTTAATGGCATGATCATACAATAATTTCATGTTGATTTTTTTCTGTTTGCGAAGGACCAGTCATTTTTCAGCAGTGTTTAGGCTGCATCATAGCTAAAGATTGAACTTAAAATGCCATAAAAGGATGCTTCAAGTAAGCATTGGCTGGGTTCCGTGGCAAACGTGTACTCTAGTCATCACTGTCTTTGCAGAATAATTCGCAATATTGACGGATGCCGAAGGAGGCACCCCAGATTCCAAGTGTGAAGTTCTGAGCCATCGTTGGTTGAATCTTTTCCCGGAAAATGAATGGTGCAGGTAACTGGAGCCGCTAATGTTCAAAACAATTCATCTCGAAACAAAAACAAACTTCCCTGTAGAAAATCAACTCTTGGAGTTGCCTAATCTGTTTCTTTTTATCCATCCTGTCCAGCTTCTCCATTCTTTAGTCTCGTCGCTTCTACTGCCGACTGGCGACTTACAGCCTAATGCATTGTTCCAACTTCCAGTAACTATAGCCTGGATGACACACTGGGTCTCCTCTGCGGTTTTATTTGACAAAGCACGTTCCCAAATCGTACACGGAACACACACACGCACGCACACACACACTCGTGTGAAACAGAGCCGCATAGCGAAACGTGAACAGCTGCACAAAACCAGTCAGCGGAGCCATTGCCCGGCCCCAGTGGTGGCACCACCGCACGGCGACCCGGCGCAGACGGGCGGAGCTGGCCACTGACGACCCGACGGGCTCAGCCGACTGGGCAGGGCGGTTTGACGCGATACGAGAGGCATTGGATGCGTTGGTGATACAAAAATCGTCACTCGCAGGTAACAGCGATGTCAAAATAGGGAATATTTGAGTGCGATTGATTCTGGCCATTGGACCTAAAACTGTAAATGGTTTGCTTAGCAAAATAGCTTCTTGTATGCTTTGAAAACATGAAGTTGGTGAATAAATTAATGTTATGCCAGGACAGTGTGTATCAGCAGTCGACGTAAAGAAACCTATGTGGATCAACGACTGCTAAACACGATCGATTGAAGTATACAGTATGGATGGTCACTGATTGTCGATTTTACATTGATCGATTTTGGGAGCTGATAACTATAACCGCTCGGTACGGGCAGTTTGATTTTGTGGCGAAGATGCCCGGCTCTCCGCTATTGTACGAGTGGATGAAGGAAGGAAGCAGTGACAAGCCCACACATTATATCGTGTTTAAGCTCATTGTGAAATGCGTAAAAGAGTGACATGAGGGCGAACGTCAAAACTGTAAGCGCTGACACCGACTGACGCACGAAGGGCTCACGCCACACACTGGGTGCGAACCACTGCTCCGAGCGCCCTCTGCACACAGCTTCACCACTACACCGGCGGCCGTCAGGGTAGGTGGCGCTGGTGCAGACTCGAGCGCCGTGGCGGCCCGCCGCGGCCCATAGCGTGGGCCGGTCCGTTGCAAAAGCACACATGATCGAAAAAACATGTGCATATCTTGGTTTCCGTATATCACGAGCGCGGCAGCGGAGAGGTTTCTGAGCTAAGCTCTGATACATCGACACAGACATCGAGAGCAGATGACGGCGGCGGAGGGGGCGCGTCCCGCCGAACGGCTCGGCGTGGCACACGGGTCCCCTCAGCGACCCTAGCGCTACCGCAGGCTGAGCCAGCATACCAAACGCATCGTCCGCAGAGGAGCAGCAACAGAAACGGCGCACACTCGATAGAAAGATTCGTTGACCCCCACACCAGCCGCAGGCTATTCAGCCAAATGGCCTTACTGTACGGGCACTTGAAGGAAATGTACAGACAGAAAGGTCACACCAACAATTGCACCGCGTCAGCCAACAGCATGCACTAAATAGCGAGTTTGATTAATGCACCAGTACGTAACTACACAACAATGCATGGGTCACACACTTGTTGGGCCGGCCGGTGGCTTGCCCCAGCCCACCCCGCCCCTATTCTCCCCAACAATACGCTGCGGTCAGGGTAGCCAGGAGTGGACACATCAATCCACTGAACTTTCTCGCACTATATTACAAAACGGTGCTCCAGCACACCCATCCGATTTGGAAAAGGACAAACTCAAAAGGTGCTAAATGCCACCGTCCTTCGGTAAATGCAAATGAATCACTGGTTATGATCAAATACTTAGAAACATTACTTTCAACATAAAACTGTAACGAAAACGGTGTTTTGTCGTTTTCGTCGTTTGACACGGCACAGCAATTGTCCTATACAGTTTCCGTCAAAACATACCACTGAGGTGGCTCAACGTTGCGGCGTAACATTGTACAACAGCCGCGTATAGACTGGTTTCTCCGGGCAGTTATCGGTTCTTCATCGGAAAGATGAATACTTATAGATAAAATTTAACTATTAACGCAGCATTACATTCACAAAATGAATTTGGAATAGTTTAAAGGCTTCATCCATCGCTAACTTCGATTTGAACACTTCGTCGCTCGCTGGTGGTTTTAGGTGTCACCGTTAGTGACACGTTGCATATTTTGCTCGATATCTGACGCCCTCTGATTCTGTGGCGTCATTTGACACCCCATGTTACACCTAGGGCAATTCGCTACACCAGAGCTGGCTTCATCACACTGGCACTTAACGGTTAACGCCGCCTATAACGTTAGGTGCGGCGGTATGCTCGGTAGTACGCCGATGGACACAGACCGGCCGGACGGCAGGGTCCGGCTCGCCATTCACAGCTCGCGAGAACCCGCACCTGTCCGGCCGGCCTGTGTGAGGAGCACGGCAAGACACCGGCAGCCGCAGCTCCCGGCCCAACGAACTCGTGCTCCCAACCAGCAGGCTTGAACGCCGTCAGAATACAGACGGCGAACTAGCCACGAACACGTTCAAGCAGTGCCGTCGCTGAACTATTCTGCGCCTGTGAAGGCGTGGAACCGATTTGTACCTAACGCTCGGTGGTTTGTGGGAAACTCGACAGTGCCGGTACCTCGGGTTGGGCCAGCGGACCCTGGTGCCCGCTGCCCGCTGATCTCTTGCCCCGTCGGTCCTCTGCGCAGAGATCCGCTTCCGCCTGGCAGCTGTAGCCTCATATACCTGGCTGCACCAGTCCCCGCTCGGCCTCCGAGTGGCCGGGTACATACCACCGAGTGAGGGAGACCTCCGTCGCCTCCGCCCGACGCCGCGCACCGGTCGGCATCCTGGAACACAGAGGCACGGAAGTGTCAGATCCGGGCCCAGTAATGTGGCCATAGGTCGCACCGCCGCTCCGGTAACTGACACCCAATACCGGCCTTCAACTCATCGACTCGTGACCTGGTACTTCCGTCTACGTGTTAAGTGGTAGAACTGTATACTGAAATGGTGCCCCATGCACCTCTTTGAGCTATAAGTGGAATTGGGTCAGCTAGCTCGACTTCGCTAAGGACTTATCTTGCTCAAAGCTCAGTTCAAGTTTTTTTTTTCATTTCTTGGCGGCTCGGTTCAGATTTCGAACAGCTCGATAGGCATATGATTGACGGTAGGGCTAGAAGTTTGTATTTTGTAATCATAGCTGCGGGCATAGGTAATGGTCCACGGAGCGCACTGCCGTACCCTGCGTGCCCCGGCCGCCGTGACCGTTGCGTTGGTCAGGTCAGGCCTTCCGGCAGCTGCGGTAGTGTGGCGGGCTGCCCCTATCGTCGTGACCGTTGGCCGAGCCCTCCGGCGGCTATGATAGGGTGGAGGACGCCGCCGGACTGCCTCCGCTGTCGTGACCGTTGGCCGAGCCCTCCGGCGGCTGCGGCGGGGGTCGCTGTCGCCCGCGGCCTGATGCCAAGGTCACGAGGTGGTCGGGTCAGCGGCGGTGACGCACGCAGGCTGCAAACTAACGGTATATCGCCGGCGATGAGCCAAGGCCACCGCCGAGTTTTCCTTGAGCGCCGCGCCATCCGCCGCTCCTCCCCACGAGTCGGCGTCACGAACACAACACGGCCAAAATCCCCGCCCGCCGGTCCGCCGGCTCTCTCGGATTCCCGGTGAATACAGGCGGCGGAATCCCGCCGCTGCTGGCGCACAAGGCCACTCCACTATCCGATCGGATCAGGCATGCAACATCCTCTGCCGGCCAGCACGCGGAAACGACGCGGCGTTTTTGTCAGATGGCTGTGCACGCGCCCAGTCAGCGCCCCGGCCGCTGAGGTCGCGCCGCTGAGCGGGCCGCCGCCGCTGAGCTGAGCGGCCGCCGACGCGACGCCTGCTGACCTACCCCAGCACCGTCCGCGGTGCCCGCAGTGAGGTCGTTGGGGTAGGGCAGTACCGAGCGGCGCACTACGAGTGGCCAGTTGGGCCGGCTGCTTCCGACAGTCCGTGACGGCCTCTCAACTCCCGGCCAATAAATGGCATCCCTGCTGTCTGAGTCGAGGGCTGTGGAGGACCATTCGGCTTCCCAGTCTCTATTTTCCAACGGGATGAGTGGCTAGCGGACATCAAAGAGCGCAACAATTGTCGGTTAGCTGATTCCAGAGGTGCTGAGAAATGGCGGGTGACTTATCCTCCCTTTTCGCTCCAAGTCGAGAGGAGATTATGGCAGTCGGTAAACAGAGTGGGAGTGGGACGGTTGCCGTCCCGGAGGGGAGCGGGGCGGAGCGGCGTCCCGTGGCGGCACTGTCGTGCAATGGCTCGGCACCGAAGGGAGCCAGCACCCGCCGACCCCGGGGCCAAACGGCCGTCGCTGGGCCGTGAGAAGAAATGGGTCGTGGCCGGCCGTCCGCCAGCCCGCAGCAGTTGACTGCGGGGCCGCCCCCAGCGCCGCCGCCGCCGCCCCCGGAACCCACACCCACCCCATCGCGGAGATCGCGCTCCGTCGGCCCGTCGGCCAGTGTTGACGAGTCCACCGTTTGTGAGGAGAGCTCGTAAGCGCTGCGGCGGAAACGGCGAGCGGCGGTACAATTCGGGGCGCCGTTTTACTTTGATGGCAGATGTTACGCGGCGAAACGCCCTTTCCCAGCAATATCGAGGGGTTTAAAGCCGTGTCGTCGCTCAAACACTATAATCCACAAAACATATGGAGTCGCAGGCTGCCTTATAAGAGTGCCATCATACAAGACGTTTGTGCTTCGGCACCTGATGTCCTGAATGGAACAGTGGCGAACTGAGGCTCTGTCTCGGTGCGCCGCGGCCGGCAGAAGGTCCCGTTCTCGGTATACGGGGAGCGCCGGCGGCGGCGGGCGACGTGCACTCGGCACCGGTAATGCCGCAGCCCGCGGACACCGCGCCGCCGGCGGCACACGGGAAATAGAAAAGTTAAGCCGTTTTGTGAGCTGTGCGGCCGGGCGCGCGCGGCGTACGGCCGGGGTGTGGCGCAGCGTCCAGCGGTGGCCGGTTACTCGGCACGGGCCAGATCAATACCGGGCAAAACGCCTCGGTAACGCCGCGCCGGCGGGCGGCGTAAAAACGCGTCGCCCACCGCCGAATAAAGTGACGGCCGAATTAATGCACGGCACCTGCGGCCCGGCTGGGCGGCGCAGCTGCACCGTATTAATCTGCCGTCATACCGACACAAGTAGGCGATCGGTGGAGCACCCGCGCCGCCATTTGGCGGACGGGTTGGCCGTCTGTCAGTCGGCCATTTGGGTGGCTCGGTCCGGATTTCAGATCAGCTGGGAGCGATGACGAGGCCCTTTAATTTCCTGGAACACGGCTGCGTACGGTGATCGATCGGGCCACGTGACTGCCCGGGGCAAAAACAACGGAGCCTCGCACGGCCGGGCCGCGTCGGCCGTCTCCGATAGCTAATAAAGCGCCTCTAAAAAGTCTGCCACCGGCCTTATCATGTCGCTTAGATTGCAGTGCGCGTACCCACACCAAGGCTATTTGATAGCGCCCCAGCGGAACAAATGTGCACCAATATTGACACATAGGTATAGATACACATAGACCTGACGGTACACATAGGCCTGACGGTCTGACTCACAAAAAGAATGGACTGGCAAACCCTTGTTAATTATGAATGGAGCTCATTTGCCCTTCGAATAACCCGTATGGTTAGGTAGGTATGTTGAACCTCCTGATGTTGGCTGTCCGTCCAGTAGACAATCATAATATGGCTTCGATAAAAAAAATTTGTTAACGCTTATCACGACCATTAGATACACATAATCGAGCGTCTTCCCAATCCCATCGAGTCGGTTACGTTGCTCCTTCATTCCACAGTCGGACAGGGTCGCACGTTAGTCGAGCGGTCGCTGGTCACCGGCGGATTCCGGTCGCAGCTCAGCTTTTTGCCGCCGGCAGCGGTCACAAAGACACCGGGTGCCGACCGCGGCGGCTCTTTGTCATTGATGTGGCCGGTCTTATCATGTCGGAAGTAAGAAGTTGCATCGCGCACTGCGAGACGGCCGGCCGTCCTTCGGCCGTCGATGGGAGCCGGCCGGCTGACCGAGCGCGGGATCTGGTCAGCCGGGAAAAGGAACAGAGCGCGAATTCGGGTGTTTAGGGAGAGCTGAAATGGTACTTCGAGCCGATAGAATGAAAAATAAAATGCATGAGGAGGAAAAGAAGAATTGATGGACATTTTTTCTCAACCAACTGACCGCTGACGATCCAAATCCAACTGCGATAGAAGAAAGAATAGTAGGTAAAGAAATGCTCCTACATAGGTACTAGCTTCTTTTTGTGAAAGGTATAGTAAAATCAACTACGGGCATTTATAGAAATTTAATGAATTTTGAGTAGGTAGGTAGGTACTTTGTGGAATGTTTTTTTCCATGAATGTACGAAGCATTCAATTGGGATGCCCACTGTCGCGTCCGGAGCGACACTAAGGGCGCACTTGTGTACGATCCAAACTTTTGTTCTCCCAGCTCCCTATCTCCCCTCCCCCTCCCCCGTCCGAGCGTTGCGGCGCCGCCCGCCTTCCGCGGTCCACCGTCGCGCATACCCGCATCGCCAACAAGTGCCTCTCCTGGCAAAAAGCCTTCGGATACATCCTAGCAAATCTCCGCGCGTTCATCACTCGCGGCAACAACAGCTCGTATTATCCCCGGCCGACAAACAGTAAACCCGCGAATTCCGAATCTCGCCTCTGCGTTTTTGTGTTGTGTTTGTGGCGGATGGGTCGCATCGGTCAGTTTGTGGCCCTGGACGATCATCGCACGCGGCCGCTATGGTCCTTGACGATCTTCGCCCGCGGTCAGTTCTCTTGGGCGGTAATCGCCCGAAGTATATGGTCCTTAGGCGTTTATCGCTCACGGCCTGTGTTCTGGGATGATCATCGTCCGCGGATTACGGCTCTTATGCGATCATTGTTCGTGGTCTGCGATCCTGGGGCGATCATGTAGTGTTGTGCGATCATCGCCCGCGTACCGCGGTCCTGGGGTGATCATCGCCGGCGTACCGCGGTCCTGGGGCGATCATCGCCCACGTCGGGGCCATGCAATGACGGGTGTGGGCGCTGTGTGAACTGGCGCGCCGCTCGGTGGGCGTGAAGTGATCGGGGTGGGTGCCGGCGCAGCGATCGGGCCGCCGCTGCCACCGAGCCGGAATCAATACGGCCGGGCCGCCGCGTGCCGCCGCCGCCGCCGCCGGCCCGGGGCGGGGTCACGTCGCGACCACGGCACAGCGCCGACTCGGCCGCGCCCGGCCGGCAAAAAGCCGCTCCAATATAGGGGCCGACGGTGGCCCGGCCGACGATTGGGTCGGCGCTCCGACAGCTGAAATCCCCGGCAGAGAGCGGTCGGCCGCGCGCTCCTCCGACCGGCGCGCCTCAGAGGAGCCGCCGTGATGGCCAATTTCAGGCCAAACTAAACACTAGATGTCAGAATGGACCGTGCGTATCTCGCTAACTTCTCAACGAGTTCAGGATAGAATTGGTGGGGGCAGCCGGCTGAAAGAGCTCTGGCGTTTGACCTGATGCTTGCACCAATCGCTGAATTTCGGCCGGATTCTGCAGCGCACACTGCGCACCTATGCCTTCTTACCCTCGTTTGACATGCTTGAGTAGCTGACAGCAGCTTTGACAATCAGTGTTGTCGAACTCATTCCATCCACCGTGCGGTGAAGACACTGGTTCTCACTGGTGGCCTATCGTGCAAGCCGCCCTTGGGATGCTATCACGGAACGAAACAAATGATTGACGTCTTAGCAATGTTGCCTGCCTTTGTACCGCTTGCCATTTGCCCAGCAACGCCCGGATGAGAAGATGTCGAGATGAAACGCTATTTTGTGTCGCATTACCTATCCAATACGTCCATGGCCTAAAAATGGAGCATTAGTCGTCCGTCTTCATGAGAATTGGAAGCTGAATTAAGCTTTAATGTTCAGGAGGTCCTGGCCGTATTCACGTCGACTTCGTAAGTCGATTTTCTTTCGTAAGTATAATTTGGTATTCACGTCGACACTTCTTAAGGTTTTATCGACGGAGTTCACGTGATTAAAAAAAAAATACAATTTTTTTTTTACAAAAAAATTTAAAAGTAAGAAAATTCCTACGAAAATGATCGACGTGAATACGGCCCCTGGTGTGCCCTTTTCTCTCTCCTGGCTGAAGGAGGCGCTCAGAGGTGGTACAGCCTCTCCAGCTCGGATGGCTGGGCCTCGGGAGCTGTTTTAGCGCACTGAGCTGGCGCAGCCCTGCCGGGCTGTTAGGTCCCCGGGCGGGCGCCGCCTCCCAGGGCTGTCGTTACTGGGCTGAGCTGGCGCAGCTGCGGCGCAGGCGGCTGATGGGCACGCGCCGGCGGCGCTGCGGCCGACCGTTTGGGCCCGCCGACGCTCGTTTTTAGCGTCTCACGTAGACTCCGGGGGAGACGGGCCGACGTTTTATTGGCAATACCGAGGCAAACTGGCGGCGAACGAGCCGGCCGGACAGCCGAGCCGGCGGCCCGCCGGAAAATACCGCCGGCCGGGCAGGGACACGGAGAGAGAGCTGCACGACGAATGGGGCCGACGAGCGGCCATCGGGCGCCGCTCCGGCTGGAGATTGGTCCGAGCGGCCGAGCCGAGCCGAGCCGAGCCGAGCGCCGACCGACCCGAGCCGGAACGGCCGGCCCGAGCGATGGCCTCCTCCCCAGCTCCTCAGGATTTGATCGGGTGGGCAGGACCGATAACCTCCATTCCTCCTCGTTCCCCAGTTCCTCATCAGGAAAGGGTTGAGCTGGTGGGACCAATTGTCTGGCAGCCTTCCTCCCAGTCTTTCAAGAGGGGGCCGGGCGAGTGGGACCTCGAGTAACTAGGATCGCTGGTCGCTCTCCCACTTCCTCAGGACTTGCCACCTTAACCCGGATCGGGCTAACCGGGTTGTAACTATAGCCAGATGCTGGCCTCCCCTGACTCAGGGTCACAACGGACACGGTTATCGTTTTGCTTTGTGAATTCGCTACAAGTGGTTACACGTTCTTCGGCTGCGCGCGTTTTCATTGACATGTTTACAAGATGCATTTACGACTATTCCGGTATTATTGCAGCAGTTTTTACAGCGCAGCGTATCATCATTGCAAGAAGAGTAGAGGACGTGAATAGGTCCTACTTTTGAAGAAATTTTAAAATCATTGTTTGTATGAATATTCGTCTGGTGGTTCTGATGAGACGCTTTCTTTGGAAAAGTCGAACCAAACTGAAGCAAGTGGAAATAGCAGCTGGTGTTCATAGGCATAAGAGCTGCATCTCAATTCTACGCAATGTCAAATTTCCATTATCTTTCAGTACCTAGTTGTTTTAATAAAAAAACGCCCATCATGGCGATTGATCTGACGCAGGTCAAATGACATCGAACTGCAATTAGCTCCTAAGCGATAGTCGCCGCAATTAATCATCACTGCAAGTGAGTTCTGTTATTGCAGCCGTACATCAGGCCAAATGACAGGCTAATAACTAGCTTGTGCTTTACGTTAGACCAGTTCATTTTCAGGCAAGGGCGTATATGGGTAGTAATTAATGACTATAGCAATTATGGTGGCAAAGGGCTGTTTTGTCGTCATTTCATAATCGTCGTACAGGAGTATGGGGATAGAAAGAGTTGGAGTGACAACACTCGCTGGAGGGGTTCAGCTCCACAGGACTAAGTCAATCGTGTCAATACGCAGCGTTCACCGACATTGACCAGCTCTACAGGGAGCCAGTGGATAGTGTCGGTACTCGGCACATACCGGTGTTGCCCAGCTCTACAGGGAGCAAGTGGATAGTGTCGGTACGTGGCACATACCGGTGTTGCCAAGCTCTACTTGAGCCAGTGGATAGTGTCGGTACTCGGTACTCACCGGGGTCACCCAGCGGTCTACAGGGAGGCAGTGGATATTGGATAGTGTCGGTACTCACCGGCGTCACCCAGCGGTCTACAGGGAGGCGTTGAGCTGGTGCCAGCGCGGTGTGAGGCCTGTGGAGGGCGGCAGGCGGGTCTCGCTGCCGGCGCGGCCCGGCGCCAGCCGCTGCTGGCCGCCCGCCGCCGCTGCCTGGCTGAAGGCAAAGTCCAGCTGGCCGTCCCTGCTCAGCTCCTCGTTGATGATGTTGTCCACGTCGCAGACGAAGCCGCCCTGGAAGGCGTCCAGCTCGAGACCGCTGAGCGCCGGGTCCGGCTGCAGGGCGCCCATCACGCTGCCCATCAGCTGCGAGGGCGTCTGCTCCTGGGGCTCCGAGTCGGCGCTGGCCGGCCGCCGCTCGGGCGCCGCCGACACGAAGGCACCGTACGGAGCCGCCGACGGCGAGGGCACGTAGGGCGGCCGGCCGCCGGCCGCCGGCGCCGGGTACGGGCCCTCGCCGGCGGCCGCCGCGCCGCCCGGGGACATGGGACACGAGCCCACCGGCGGCGAGGCCACCTGCTGAACACACAGACACACAGAGCGGGTGAACACACCGGACCGACGGCACAGTGCACAGAGGTGGAAACGCCAAACGATACACCGGTTGGAGGCATGAAATTTACTATGACCGAGCGTTTGAAAAAAAAATTCAGGACAAAAAGAAACGTGTGTTTGGGAGCATGCTCGAACCAATGTCGCTTATCGTTAACTGTATACGGGTGGCTCGATGCCGGACGCCGGGTGCCGTCCTCACCTGAATGCCGTTGTAGCCGGTGTGCTGCTCGACGTCCTGCGCGGGCATTCCGCCATTGCCGACCATCAGACCGGGCGGCCGGCGCACGTCGGCGGCGAAGGGGGCCGCACCGCCGCCGCAGTAGAGGCCGTAGCCGGAGGTGGCGATGTTGTGGTAGGGCGGCGGCAGGCCCTGCTCGGCACCGGCCACCTGCTCCGCCGGCCGGCCCGGCTCCACGCGACTGAACTCGGCAGCGCGCTCCTGCTGCTGCTGATACTCGGCCGCCAGGTAGCCGTTACGCTCCGGCAGGTAGCCGCCGTTCTGCGGAGTGTAGCCGTTTCGGTCGGAATGGAAACCGTTTCGGTCAGGATGGAAACCGTTTCGGTCGGGATGATAACCATTCCTGTCTGGATGGAAACCATTTCTTTCTGGATGGAAACCGTTTCTATCCGGGTGGTAGCCGTTTCGGTCCGGGTGGTAGCCGTTTCTGTCGGGCTGGTAGCCGACATGGTCGGGCGTGTACGGCGGTCGGCCGGGGTAGGTGGGACCGGGCCAGCCGAGCGGTCCCGGTGACAGCCGCTCGCAGCCGGCCGCCGTCCTGTACAGCATCGTCTGCGGGTCGAGGAAGGCGGCGTCGGGCGGCGATCCGAGCGCCGCGCCGCCGTCGGCTCCCTCGCCGGCCGAGTCGGAGCGCTTCTTGGCGCGGCCCCGCTTCCGGCCGCCCGCCTTCGATGGGTCCAGCGGCGAGCGGCGCCGCGAGCTCTTGCCCGTCTTGGCGTCTGGGTTGATGGTCCACCAGGAGGACTTGCCGGTGCCCTCGTTCTGCACCTTGACGAAGCGCGTGTGCAGCGACAGGTTGTGCCTCACAGAGTTCTGTGGACAGAGGGACAACAAACCGTCAGAGTGTTATAACATGTAAAGCTTTCATTACAACAGGAATTTCACCGGTGAACTCGTCTCAAGTTCATAGGAAATAGCTTCGGCAAATAAACATTCCCAATTACTGTGCAACACTGAACACATGTCCGTATCCAAACACCTGCGTCAACTCAGCATCTTATTTCATGAAATATGCTCCTGGCTTTCACCCTTGGCGAAAGTATGAAGATGGCCGCGCACCTGAATGTGACCCAGATGATATGGGCGATCAGTCATCCACAAATCTGGGACAGCCCCTCCCTTTAGTGGGGTCATGATATGAAGATCCTGCTGGCGCATTGACTGGCACCATTTAATCTGAACTGGGCTTCTGGTGAACATGCAACTGCCGACGCGCAGAGCTGGGAACGAAGGAGACGCGACAAAAACTGGCAACGCGACGAGATGGATGCAGACGGCCAGACCAGCCGGCAGATGCCAGACGGAGACGGGAGATGTGCACCTCGCTGGAGGAGGTACGACTGGTGACGGAGACTGCGTAGGAATAGAAAATTGGGTGGTCGTCGAGCGAGAGTTCAGATCAGCAGTAAACTGAACGACCCGAGAGGCAGGGGCACGCAATGGGAGCAAAAGATGACAGAGGGAGATAGAGATGATAAGAGAGAGAGAGAGAGAGAGGGAGAGAGAGAGAGAGGGAGAGAGAGAGAGAGAGGGAGAGAGAGAGAGAGACAGACAGACAGACAGACAGAGAGAGAGAGAGAGAGAGAGAGAGAGAGAGAGAGAGAGAAAGAAAGAGAGAGCTGAGAGATTGATAGAAAGAGAGAGGGGAGAGAGAGAGAGAGAGAGAGAGAGAGAGAGAGAGAGAGAGAGAGAGAGAGAGAGAGAGAGAGAGAGAGAGAGAGAGAGAGAGAGAGAGAGAGAGAGAAGGGTGTCAGAGGCAGAGGAGCGGTCTGGGGAGGGAGAAAGGGATCGGGTGAAGGGAAGCAAAGGGAATGAGGGTGAAGTAGGTAGAGGAGTAGGTCGGGGAGAGGAGCAGAGGGGTGGAGGATAACAGAGGCAGAGAGAGGGAGGGTGGCTGAGGCGGCGGAGCGTCTCCCGACCCCTGGCGGCCGCTGCCACCACGCCGTGACGTCACGCCTCATGACCCGGTTGTGCGTGAGTGGCGCGGCGCTAGAAAGGGCTGTGCGTAATGCGGTCGTTTACCCCGGCCTTTCTCAGCGGCCGGCCGCGCCGGCCCTAGTATGTAAGTACCCTGGCGCCGGCCCGGGGCTGGGATGGAGTCGTCACACGGCACAGAGGGCGCCGACACCGGACGGGCAGGAGCAGTCGGCAGGGACTGAGAGTTTGGGGATCAGGAGTAGAGACAGCGGCGGGGTGGCGCACGATTGCCATACAACACCTGACACCTCTGCCGACGCCATACAAAACCCGACCTGGCGGCAGTGTCCAGTGTCCACTGTCCAGCACTGCACCGCACCAACCGCCGTAATCACCTGTCCATTTGTCAGGGTTGCACGTTGACTTATGCAGAGCCGGACATTAAGCTTTTTTGTTGGCACCTCGGATCAATCCAATCAGCTTATTTCCTGTCGTCGCCGCTGCAGGTGACATTTACCCGGCGGCGACACCTGTCTGGGCGGGGGCGGGGGCGGGGGCGGCTGACGTGCCGGCGACCATCGGCGCGCCGCCAGTGCCGGCCGCTCACCGCCCCTATATCGCCGGCTGGCATGCAACATCGCAGCGCCGCGCCCAACGACGAACGTGGTGGGGTAGGCCGGCGGCCGGCGCTCAGCGCAGCGGCGGCAGCGGCAGCGGCAGCGCTGCACTGAGCGCCGGCCGACGTGGGCCGCATGCCGGCCGGCCTGCAATGTGACGGCCCGGGAGTGGGTCACTGGGCGGTTAAGTGCCGGTGGGGAGGGGCGCACCGTGTCGCCGTGGGAAGGGGAGGCGTTCTGACAGAACAGGACGTCGGCACTCGACTGATCGGCTGGCAGGCGGGAAATGACGCTAAACGGAGCTCGTCGTCCGTCGATAACCGTGCTAGGCATGCGCACATTATAGGCCTTAGCCACTTTTCATGTGGGCACTTTCCCGTTGTAATAGTGATCAGCACGACACAACAAGTTGTTCCAACGCAATGATCCATTGAGCCACGCACCCCTCACAGCAATTATGTCATATACCTACTCCCACGCTAATTATTATATGCCACGCTAATAATCCTGTGTGTGATACGTCAGTAGCTACTTTGGTACTGCTAGTGCATTACCTTTATGCTTTCACCCTGAAAAAGAGCGACTATGGAGGAATTGATTCACTGAGAAGAAGTCATTCTTCGAATAGATGGATAATATCGATACAAGCATGAATCCGTACCGTATTGACAAATGACACATGTTTTGATGAGAAAAGAATCTTGTTTTCTGTCAGTTGAAGGTTGAGTACCTACCTAATCTCCTGCATCCATTGCTTTGCGTATTCTTTCTTCCTCCGTTTTTATTTCTACCCATTCAGTGACTCCGATTTCATCCCTGTATTTTTTCACGTGTTGTCTGCATCCTTATCCCGTATAGAAGAAATGAAAAATTTAATTGTTTTATTTGCTTTTTTTCGTTCATCTTCTCGTCAAATAATACACGATCGTTTTAACAAGGTAGCATTTACTAATTTTACTAATGTATGGATTTATTTATTTATTTATTTATTTACTTATTTATTGTTGTTGATTCATCACTTGAAATAAGCAATGCTTAGTTATTTGACACTTATTGTTATTTTATTTTGATCAGATCGTTATTCTAGCCTAAGAAGTCGTAAAAACTATTCACGTTTTGGTTTTAGGTTTCCTTTTTTCGTCCCGTAGTTGTCATCGCATTATTCATTGTGATAATCTTGTAGCGCTATATGTAGCCCAAAACTTCATAAACGTCGGGGCCTTCTCCAAAGCACGCTATCTCCCTTCTCGTCTGCGATCCACTGCAGCGTCCATTTGGAGAGAGAGGGTGAGAGGAGTGGGAGGGAGGGAGGGGCTGGCTGGCGCCGCTGGCGTCGCCGGCTCCAAACGGGGTCAGGGCGGCGGCGGCGGCGGTGCACCGTGTCGGGAGAGAAGGCGGACGGCCCGGCCTATCGGCCGCGGCACGCAGCTCTGACGCACGACCGGCCACGCTAAACGGCTGGCTCCGCTGCCTCGGCGGCTGACCGACCGACCGGGCCGTCCAGCCTCTCCGCGGAGACAGTCGGCGGCCCTACACCCGGCCGGCCGCTCACTACAGGCGCTACAGCCAGCTGTACCAGCACATGGGCTGGCTAGCGACTGCATCCAACTCCACCACACTGCAGCCAGAGCCAAAAGACTATGTAGCCGTCTCCTCCAGACTGCAGCTGGGTCTAAAAGACTGCGGTCTGCTGTGGTTGCCGTCATGGAGACGTGTGAGACGGAGACGCGCCGATCCAGAGCTGCGCTGCAGTCGCGGCCCGCTCCGTCAGTCTGTTTTCTGCGGCCGCTGTCGTGGGGAACTCACCCTCTATCTGCTGTCTCCTCGAGAAAGAACGGCGATTTAGTAAATGGAGCCTCATTCTTGTCTCCAGAATGCCCGATAAAACAACAACACACCGAGACGTTCATCGAGCCTCGCATATGTTAGAGAATAGCGAAGGTAGGCGCATGCTACTGCATTTTCTCTTGGCGTTGGTATCGCTTCTATTTCCAGCAAAAGCTATTGAAGCTAATTAAGAAATTTACCAAAGCATTGTTTACAATATGTCCCCTTCTGCAGGCCGGTGTGGTCTCGCACATCCGCACTCCCCTGCCGGCTGCCGCCGCGCGGCGGAGCGAGCGACCGTCGCGTATTGCGGCACAGCATCAGCTAGATTCTATTTCAGGATCCTAGATGGCGGGCCGAAAGGACGCCTGGACCGGTAGACTGACCCGCAGCGCACCGACTGAAAAAAACGGCGCCAGGCCTATCGCGGCGCGGGCGGCGGGCGGACGGTCGATTCGGAACCGGGCGAGCGCGGCATAGTCGAACTGCGAGATGGCTGTCCGGTAATGTGATTGTTCAGGCTGAACGCTGATATGCAACGGCACTTACCTGTTCGATGGTGCATTTTCTATAGCAAATCTTTCGAAGGGTTTTGTGTTTCATTGAGGAAACTAAGACGAAGTCAATTTTGGTGTGTGGTTTTTCAAATATGTAATTGTTTTTATTTTGTCCAGTGACCAAGGGTGAGCAACATCATCCGAAATATATGGACTTGTGAGTTATATATTATTATCCCAGAGAATAATCCGAAAAGTGACTATACATAACTAATTTCCTGGGAAAAAATGACTTTAAAACAACATAAGACGAAGTCAATTGATAACGTTTTAACGATTTTACATCCAGCTTTCCTTATTTAATTTTACTAACAAATAAAGGTCAAATTCCATACGCACACCGAGTCGGCTCTAAACCATGTTTGTAAAATTCGAAAGCTATGTTCTTATTTAACTACGGGCATTTATTTCGCATCGAACAAAGACTTTAGTTGCTTGAGGCATGTTTTCCGAGCGCTGACGTCGGTGTAGCACTGGATCCCACGTCCCGCCATACGCTGGCGTCTGTCGCGGGTCGCGGACCACCGAGGGCCGGCCGTCCCGGCCCCCCGAGTCCGCTTTGTTGTGCTTACTGGCGGCGCTGAGCAACGGAGTGGGTCGGTCGACCGAGCCGGGCCGTTCGGCCGGCGGCTTTAACTGGGCGTATCGGCGCGCGGCGGCCGGCACTGGCGCCGCGGCCGACCCCTGCTCCGGGATCAATAGAGGAGGCGGCGCCGGCAGCGGGCGCGCGCACCCCACCCCGCCGAGCCGCCCGCCCGCGCCTCAAACCACGCTCCGCCGATGAATCTGAACGTTTCATTATGTCGGCCGGCAAGCCAAATTGCTTTGACATCTAATTAAACGGGCCTGCGCCGGCTGGTGCACCGTGCGGCGCGGCTGAGCCGGCTGGTGACCT